AGGGGGGGGGGGCAATTATCGCGAATTATAGGCGATTTCCAGGTTGAGAACCATAGATATGGGGTACATAGAAGCGGAACCAATAAATTGACAAAAAGATATTATTAATCCGCATACAGGAAAAAGAGATTAAAACAGCACCTGGGCATGGATGGCTGGTGCCTCTATAAATAAATAATTGATGGTCAAGTCAATGTTGATAGGGGTGTTAAGCCTGTAGGTCTACATGTACCATTTCACTATTTTTACCAGCTTTTCTGGGATTCCCTGGTGCCTCAACGTTCCTACTCAGTCTATATTGCCACAGGTCTTCTCGTAGACAAAAAGGGGTCTCTCGCAGCCTAGAGGTTAAGGTGTTTGTCTTTCATTCAAAGGTCCTGGGTTCAAATCCGGAGCGACGGAGAATTTTCTTCAAAAAAATTGACTCCTTTCTCCTCTTTTCCTGCTCCCTAGCAATTAGCAATGTTCTGTCGTCTGCTTTCGTTTCCACTTTCTGCCTCTACCCCCTCACCTCCTTTGCCCCCTCCTCCAGGCTCCTGACTCTTTCTGCAGACTTTCTACTGCTACTCCTTGGCTCCTTACTGCTGTCTTTCAGCCACACCTCTGATTTTTTTTTGTAAGAAAGATCTACACCTAGCCTTCTCGGACGAAAATCTCGAAGGTCCAGTGTGCAAGTTGCGTACGTTAAAGATCCCTTGGTGGTCTAAAGGCGATAAGAGTTGGTTTCAGCCGCCACTCGGGCAAGAGTCAAAATGTCCTACCAACTGAAATTGATTGGTGTGTCCCGCGCGCTCATATGACCTTATGCAACTGCGAGCGCCGTAAAACACTTACCCCCCCCCCAAAAAAAAAAAAGTAGTCAAGGAAGCTGATGATCAACTGAGAGTTCCACTCCAGGGATTGTTCCACTATGATCTTAGGCGTGGCAATCTGGTCAGTTGTTGACCGATTTTTTCCGAAAAACAGCCTGTTCACCCCTAAGTCTTGGGTCGATTGCGGTCTTGATCATCTCCAGGATGATTCTGTTGAAGACCTTGCCCGGAATTTATTATTGATAGAAGAGTGGTTCATCTGTAGTTGCTACCGTTGCTGAGATCCCCCTTTATATGAAGCTGCACGGGATGTCTTTCTTTCCAATCTTTTTGGGAACTTGCTCTCTTTCCTGATCCCAATTAACAATGGGAGGAGATCTGCTGTCACTCTGGCATCTGTTTTAGGGCCTCGGGTGGAATGTGATCAGGACCTGCCGCTTTATAATATGGGGTGCCCACTACGGCAGGATCGTGCCGATCGCCCGACTGATCTCCTAAAACTGAAAAACAAACAAGTTTGTATTTTAGGTGACCGAGTCGGGCGATCGGCCGACCCCATCCGTAGTATCACCTTTGTTCAGCTTAGATTTGTAACTCATTGCTTGCTGTCAGGTTGTTTGGCGGGTTAGGCCTACTTGGGGGCTGATGGTGGTCTGTTCAGGGGGCTATTAGAATGCTCTACCCATCGTTTAGACTGAGTTTCCTTTCTAAAAAACAGTTTTCGCCTCTTGGTCCTTTAGTGGTACTTCTGATCTTTGTGGTTTGGTAAAGGATTCTCATGCCCTCCCCCCCCCCACCCTGCTGCCGCCTCTGCCCTGTCTGCCAACTTGTTCATGAATTCTTCCTTGTCTTTTCTTAGTGATTTCTTGACATCTTTAGCTGTTGTCCTGTACTGCTCTACTAATACATCTGCTCTTGATCCCCTTGTTCTTCTTGCATTCGCCTTTTCTTTCAGTTGCCTTCTATTCCGAATTAAATCCAACGAGTGTTGACTTTTCTATTCTATATGCTCCGGGACATATTTTCATCGAGTAGGCCTACTCCTTGACATGTTGAAGTAAATATTTCTTTGACCTTCGTCCAGGACATCTCCACCTCCATGTCCTCCCCACCAAGAGGTTCAGATATCTGTTCCTCAACTGAAGCTGAAACTCCGTTTTCTTGTGTCCGCCCAAGAGACCTACTTGGAACTTCGTTGTTTTGGTTTCTGTTTTGGCTCTTTTTTTTAGACGAAGCTTGAGTTTCGCTAACACTAGCAGCAAATGATAACCCGATTCTACACCTGCCCCTCTCTGTACTAAGCCCGACTCATGAATTATCAAAATAATGTTTTCTGGACGTAAAAATATCTTCTTTTTTTTTAAACCAAAAGAAACCTCCCAAACAAACAAACATACAAAAACAATTAAGTTGTAAAATGTCCCTTGTATCTGTGTCGAGTGATAATCACATGTATTCATGTATACAACAATAATCATTGAAAATGTTCTTTCAGTCATGACTTAATATTACAATGCCCAGGACTAACTTCCAAACTCAACTGTATCAAATGATATTTAAATCATGCTTGTTGGCTAGACCAATTTGATAACTTAATAAATTTATGTCACTATTTTGATTCATGTTTTTGTCGTCATGCGTCACAATATATCATTGTCAAAGGCACTTAACACAGATTTCCCCCTTCTTCACCAGCTATAGACAGCAACGGGTCTTGTCAGTTTTTTAGTCTGAGCGCATCATCAGCTGCTTGCACTGCATGCTTCCCGGGAAGCCGAGAATCGTTCTGGGTGTTTTAGTTCTAGTCTGCTGGGGGTAACATTATAGGTTTATAGATTGTGAAAGGCATATCTTGCTGTGGAGCGGGGATATACAAAGAGATGCTATTACGATTGTTATAGTGATTTAAATATAGTAGGCCATATACACTAACCAGCACCATGTCACCTTGACACAATCCATTCTGATAATGCTGATCGGGTACTTCTGACCTTGATTAGTGGGTATCCCGTCAAATCATAGGCCTAAGGATGGGCAAAAGCAACCATATTGGTACAACTTAATCAAATCCTCCCAAATCAAACGAGGATGTTTTGTTTTGTTTTTTCTTTCTCGCCACCATTTGATACGTTTGATGAAACGAATGCTACCTCACATTGTAGGATCTGATTTTTAGTTTGGTGCGGAATGCAATTAAGCGCTTTTTCAACTTTCAAATTTGATGAAGCAAGGCAGAGACCAGTGTAATATATTAGGCCTACTGGGTGCAATAGAGCAGCCATTAACCGACCCGAACCGATCTAGTCTGATCGTGAAGATCGAATACTTAACAAGAAAACCAACCCAATGTGCATCCGTTTTAATTAAGTACCGGTAACGGTTATATTATGCGTAAGCGGGGGAGAACGGTATATAATTAATGCGATCACGTATAGGATTACGCATACGTTCAAAAGCTAGGACGAATTAATGGCCATTTTCATTACTGTGCTAATGTGACTATCCTATTGTGATGTCATATTACTTTAATAGATTTTCACTTACGAGATGTTGACTCTGTGGAGGTTTGGAAACCCACACTTTTCTACCAAAGGCTACATAATGAACTACTTGGAACGATCTATCGCACGGCCTCTGCATGAAAGTATTGAATGGTACTTCGGGATTAATCACTAGTGTTGCAATGTTTATTTTGTTTTCAGCAGGTATCATCATACTGAGCATTTTATATGACAACTGTATTTATTAGCAAGGTGTTGGCCTATGAATCATTCTGAAAATGTGCACAGCTGGAGTGCTCCCTTTCTCCAACTGTGACTTACAACAAATTCAGAATTTAAATAAAATCAGGCCTTTTTAATTAAAAGATGACCAAATACTTCTTTGTCGATTTCCTTACTAGAATATTGAATTATTATCACAATTATTATTGTATAATATTGTTATTATTATAATATAATATGAGCATGATGAAATGATTAACTTTGAAGTAAGCGAAATACGAAAACTAACGAGACATCTTCTTTTATGTGGAGGAAATTATTATAAGAAAACAAACAAGAGGAATAACTCACGATATCTAATGTCATTGTCATTCATCCCAAAGTGTCAGCCCAAAAACTTAGAATGATTCAATGAAGTATCGCCATCAACAAGATGCGAAGGGCGTTGAAGGTGCCCCTCACAATATGGGGAAAGACAACAATCAAGTCGTTTTTAAATCTCTGTAAGATATTTCACCTTTTGAAAATGCTCATAGATCTAGAAATTCCACTGTCCACCCTGTCGTGTTGTTCAGGACGGTAAAGGAACAGTGCAAGTGCAGTGATGTGATACATTGCAGAGTCAGAGAGTTGAGAGTCAGTCATATTCTTCACTAGGCCTATTATTATCTTACAATTATACACTGTATTGTTAAAGTTATTAACCCTAACTTTACTATTTTGAACTAGATCTAGATCTAGATATCTAGATCTAGATTATAATATTTCGCTGTTTTGACCAACGTCCAATAGTACTAGATATCTAGATCTAGATCTAGAGTAAATCCTGTGGTGCGATATACAGTAAGCGATCTTTTGTGGATGGCCACCTCTATTCTCACCCGGGGTGAGAATAGTGCAGGCGAGTCTTTTGGCTATTCTCACCCGGTGCGCGTTCACCGTTATAGCCTAGATCTAGGCCAACAAATTTTGCGTTCACCCTAAACCACAGAATTCTACACTGTGATAACAGAAAAATTGTAGAATTCTGTGCTGTGAACAAACGTTCCATTACAACTGTACTTGTAGCCTACTAAAAGCCTACAATTTTGTCTGTGGGCAGTGGAGAGAGAGAGTGAGAGAGAGAACAAAACAAAATGGCGACCTGCGTAGTTCGGCTCGATTCGAAAAGTTAAATAGCCGTAGCATCTTTGTAGACAACCAAATTAATTTACTTTTGTGTTTTAACATCATTTTTTAACTTTGTTTTGGTCAATTTGATCGTCCACACCGATAGACAGTATTCAGAAAGAGACAGAGAGAGAGAGAAGAGGGGAGGAGTAGATCTTGCGAGAACTTCCGGGCGGGTGAGAATAGCCACTTTCTTTGTGGATATCTCTGGAAGTTACAGACAGGTCGATCTTCATGATTTTTTCACAAAAGTTAGAAAAACCTCCTTTCTATACGGCATACGGTGTTGTAGCGCATTACTGTAACAGCAGTTTAAAATTTCGGTTTTGAACCATCCACGATGTATAACATATTTAAGGGAAGACATGCATGCTTTTTTCAAAATTCCTTATGCACTGACTTAGCTGTCATTTAAGGGCATTTTATATGACTTTGGGGGTCTTGCACATTATACAGGTAGTTGGATGTATGTTCTTCAGTTCTGTGCTCCGGGTAAATTTTTACACTTTAGGGTGTCATGACCTCGTATAAAACGTTATTTTAATATATATATATAAGCTGGCATTGGTGTATTGGTATCTGTAAAGGGGTGGCTGATTGGGTACCCAAAATGTAGCAGTGTATCTGATAGGTCACACTAAGCCATAGCAGAGAATGATCAATGAGTACAACACGCATTTACTAACAATGCCTCCCACCCCACCCCGTCGACCGATCATCAGTTGATTAGATTAGATTAGTTTGGGTTCATTCATGTGGGAAAACTGCTAGGAATCGATGTTTCGGCCAGCTGATAGGTCAAACTGTTACGTTGGACCCAAGTCACTCACATGTTTGTTTGATAAAAACGAGGTAAAGTGGCCCCCATTTATATCAGTCAAATGTTATAACAGGATTCCAGCCATGGCAGGAAATCCATCCCACTTTTTATAATCTATAATAAAAAGTCATAAATAGCAAGCATTCGGACGGACATGTTCGACTATAACAGTGGTCGAATTGTTTACAAAATCCCAACTAAAACATCGACAAGAGGGCAGGTAAAAGGAAATGAAGCAAGGCAACAGATAACATTTAGGGTGAATTGGACTTACGTGACCTACGGTAGGCTAAGTTGATTGTGACACAATTCGAAATGTAAAACGTTGAAAATCGATATTTTGACCCAAACATTGTATTTTGAAGACCAGCGCCTTCCCTTAAATGTAATTCATAGTGACTGCTCAGTGTAAGACTCTGTCAGTGGGTGGTTGGCGGGTGCTCTGGTGTGGTTTGCTTCTTCTTTCCTATAAAAAAATCTATCGTCCTTATCTCCCCTTCTTCTTTTTTATGTTTGTTACTCTCTTGTAACACCTCTAATCTTCTGGCGCTCATGATATGACCTTATGCAGTTACAAGCACCGTAAAACTTATACTAAAACTAAAGACTCTGTCATACGTCTTTATTCAAAATGGCGAATGGCGGAATATAAACACTAAGCAGTCGATATATGTACATCACAATTGTGAAGGAAAGCTGTTAAAATTTGATTCAAAATATGCATAATTTTTTTTTAAAGGGCTTATTGCATGGCTCTCTTTGTCAATCAAAAAGTATCTAAGTATGTCTCTGATTAATTTATTTTAAAGTAAAAAATAACTGTAAGAGAATGGAAGAATTACAGAAAACAATGGTCATTAGGGAAGTATGAAGGTCGAATTTTACCTTATTATCCTAATCCATCAAGTCTGAATAAAACATTCCAGACTGGAAGAATGCCAACATTTTTATCTATAATGTACTCATGATTGTGCGGTAAGTGCTTTTTTTTGTATGTGTCACTAACTTTGCTGTTAGTGTTAATTTAGTGTATTTCTGGCTATGATAGTGATAGCCCTAGTGAATTTTCCGGTTACTTTTGAAAAGGCCTGCTTAACTGTACACCTTTAAAGGTTGAAGTGAAGCAAGAAGGTAGTTTTGAGGCCAGGTGGGGGCCTTGATGCTAAAGTGGTTTTGTGTGTGTCTGTGTGTCTGTGTGTGTGTGTGTGTGTGTGTGAGTGTGTGTGTTTTTGTGTGTGTGTGTGTGGGGGGGGGGGTGCAGAAGGCCTATCTCCTCCGAGAAAGGAGGCTTATAATATAATTTATAGTCATAGTTTTGAAGAAAATAACATTTCTAAGGGTCTCTTTAAACAGACTCCTCGGTGTGGTTGGTTTCCTTTATACGAAATTATAAACTTCATCACCCTTGTTATAACAATGCCAAATGTGCTCTCTTTCTTGAAGCTTTGAAGCAAGCTTGTTAAAATAGATCTGCATATTATATTTATCATTCGTCGACCATTTGTTTGTAGGGTGGGAAAAGTGATTGTCTGAAAATGGATGATTTGTAAACAAATAGTAAACTTGAGTAGAGAACAAATTGGAGCATAAAAGAATAACAGGTATTTATGTTATAATTAGTGAAAATGAAGTTTTTATCATAGTTGGAAATGCTATGAAAATTTGTTCAATCAGTCAACTTTTTGTGACTAATCTGTTCTGTAATTCTTATGAAAACTAAAAACGTTAGAACTTTGATGATAATTCCTTTTATCCTCAGCTGTTATTTTTCCACGGCACAGTTCCTCGGCTTCAGTTGTAAACCCTGAAAAGAATGGGACTACTTCTAGAGATAGTAACGGCAAAACTAATGATGGAGCACAGCCATTATTTGATGGTCCTTTAGATGTGTACCTTAGTAAAATCAAAAGTGGTGAGCTGAACTCTGATGCCCAGCAGAAGAATGTTGTTGAGCGACTTCAGGCTTTGCACAGAGAGTTGGAGACGTACCAACCTGCAGGGAAACAGAAAACCTCTTGGTTAAAGGTGCGTTGATACTTGCATTAGCTATAATATCGGCAAATTTAACAGTCTCAGATTCTGTGTTTTCAGTTTTACCTTCAGTGTGTATTTTTCTCTTAAACTTAAAGAATAATAATTATTTATTAAAAAACCCCCACGGAATGTGGTGAAAGCACGCTGTTAATATTTTCCCCAATTGAGAATCAATAAAATTTATACTTTATCTGTCCAATCTATTTTAAAGTCTGAGATAAGTGTGAATATAAGCTTTTATTGCACTATCAATTTTTCCACATCTTTCGATCATTGGATCATTGTTAAAAATAGGTTATGAACTTTGAATCATGAGTACCCAGCTCTAGTTTAACATAGTAAAAAGGATTTATGTTTACATTTATTTCAGAGAGTAAAGGAAAATAATGTTGCAGTTAAGGGCCTTTACTTACATGGAAGTGTAGGTAAGTTAATCATCTGTACAGGTTAATTGATGAAAAAGTTTTAAAAAATAGTTAGTGTTTTACAACTGGGTCTTATGTCCTCTTTAAAAAACGATAATTATCTTCAGAGGCAGACCACTCAGATGATTCCTATACAATGCCTTTGAGGGATGAGTTTAAAGGTCAGTTGAAAGTAGTCAGTCTGTTGTGAAAATAGGTGTTTCACTATAACTCTGGGAGTGCAAGCCATCTCAGTGTTAATGGAAAAGATGACTGAATAGACAAAAAGAACAATAACATAAACAAAAGAGCACTGTCGAAACAATAAAATGTATGCTCACCTCTTTTCCAAACTATGTTTCATGAAAGATAGTCAAGTAAAGTATTAGACATGAATAAACTGAACCAGAAGATACAGGTGTGCTCACTGTTGATGCCAAGACTACAAAAATTGAATGCCTAGATTGATTGGAAGGTTTCGTCCCATAATTTGTTTCATTTTCATAGCATTTCCCTTTGTTTTTGAATTTTGAGAAAGGTCATGCTTGTCTCATGGTCTTAACAACCATTTTTTTGTGTGTTAAGGTACGGGAAAGACGATGCTTATGGACATGTTTCATGAGACCAGCAATGTGGCCCGCAGAGAAAGAGTCCACTTTCACAAGTTTATGTTGGATGTTCATAAACGTAAGGATTTGTGAATATTGGAAATCTCTTCGCTTATGCTTGTTGTCGGAGAAGATGGGTGATGGGAGATTGATGATGTGGGTTTTTTTTTGTGTGTGTATTTCATTCAATGTATTGTTGTTGGGTGCCCGCAAAAAAATGTCTGCCACTAAAATTCAATGAACTCAAATAATTTTTAACCTGTTTAAGTAAATCAGAATGTTGGTATCTTAAGATTTAACTCTGTGGACAGATTGTGTCTAACTTAAGTCCTAATTGAATAAGGTAAAAAAAAATTTTAAAGCATCAAAAGTTGACTTCTTTAAAGAAATGAAAACATAAACATTAATGTGGAAAACTTGTAACATCTAACCAACAAAATTTCTTGACTCTCTTTCGTCAGTTATTCAAAGCTTTCTTTACACTAACATTTAACATCAAAGTGTGAGTAAAAATTCTAAATCAAAGTGATAAATTTACCTTAAACTTTCCTGCACTCACTGCCAAAGTATTAACCATCAATCATATTCAGGAATTCATCGACTGAAACAAAGTCAACCCAAGATTTCGACTACCCTGGGGACACAGCCGTTTGATGCTATTGGCCCTATTGCAGTGGAGATAAGTGAGGAAGCCTGGTTGTTGTGTTTTGACGAGTTTCAGGTAAAATTTTGAGTTTTATTGATATGAATTATTCTTAAACATATATATCGATTGTAGAACTAAACTTGTTATCCACTCCATTACCTGTCAATACTTTCCACTTCTCCTTTGACTTTATCTGTAATGACTCAGTGACCACTTGCTTATCTGCAGCCACAAAGTCCTGTCATGTACACTCACAATGTGTACTATTTGTACATAGAAGAGTTGTTAGCTGCAAAGTTCACTTATGGTAAGTTGTTACATTTCAAAGGAAATGTATTTGTCTCTTGCCCAGTATTGTCTGCAGCACACAATTGTTGTAGAGCAGGGGGTGGGTGGTTGGCGGGTGCTCTGGTGTGGTTCACTTCTTCTTTCCTATCAAACATCTATCGTCCTATTCTTCCCTTCTTCTTTTTTATGTTTGTTACTCTCTTGTAACACCTCTAGTCTTCTGGCGCTCATATGACCTTATGCAGTTTCGAGCGCTGTAACACCTCTACTAAAACTAAAACTAAGAGGAGTGGAAAATTTCTTGAACTGTCACTGTCAATACACATGTTTCTTCTTTTGCAGAGGTTTTTTTTTTTTTGCTTTGGTTTACTGCTTTTGTAATAAATGTTCTGTGCGCAATGCCATATACACAGATGTGGATGTGTATCCTGTTGAGATTGCAAAAAAAATTATGATTATAGCATGTTTGACTGTGGGTTGTTTGCTAAAGCAGGGGGAAAAAATCCTCACAGCAGTGAAACATTAACATTATATAATACTTCCTGTATGTGAAGAGCAGGTAGGGTTGATTTTATTTATTTTTTAGCTTTAGAGTTTTGTTAATATTTTATCATTTCAAGTTTATCATTGGGATTTTTTCCCTCCAGGTGACAGATGTTGCTGATGCCATGATTCTGAAAAGACTCTTTACTGAACTTTTTAAAAATGGAGTTGTTGTAGTGGCTACTTCCAACAGACACCCTGATGGTATGCTGGCTCTAGATGTTTTCGTCATATTCAATTCTCTACCTCTTAACGCTTTCTTAATTCTGTTACATTTATACTTTTTCGTATAGAACATTTCATTTGTTTAGGATGGTTTATAAAAATACAGCGAACCTTGCTTCCAACAAATTTATCAGCTCCAATTTTTAATTAGGTTGAATCCAAGGTTTTGAAGACAGCAAAGTCCAATAGTATATGTCATATTTCTTGCTAATTTTATGGGACCATCTATCCTAAATGTGTCCAGTTGCAGTGCTGTATTTGTGGCTATTATCTGTTTAATTTTTTGTACACCCTTTGACTTCTCGTATCAACTCTTTGTCAGTTTCTAAAAAGATTTTCCTTACTGCCATGATGACCGTATAGTAGCCTACCCGACCACAGAAAATGCCGAGAACTAGGCTGACTGTATTATGTTTGCAAGGCTAGCTCTCAAAAGCAGGTGCATTGCATGTGTCTGTCTTGGTTTATTCTGGTACATATTCAGTTTCTGTCCATGCATGGAGGGGGCCACTGGTAGGTCTGACTTTTTTTCTTTCTTTCTGCTATTTCTGTCTGTCTATCATGCTGTTTCTGTGAACTAAATGATTGCTGTTGTGTTGGTCTGCTTCTTTTTATCCAGTCAGCGTTACTTACCGGTACAATGATTATACTTGTGCTCAGTGCTTTTGAAAATGAAACACTGTGCAGGGTAGAGAGAGTGCTGGAAGACTCATCATAGGGCTACCAATCCTACACATCCAGCATGCTTGCCTGCCTGCCCCCTCCCCCTTCTCCCCTCCCCCCCCCCTGTTTACAAGTAACTTTTTAAGGAATACGGTATTCATTTTCGCTCACTGAATGTTGTTGTTTTGTTTTTAGATTTGTACAAGAATGGCTTACAAAGAGGAACTTTCTTGCCTTTCATAGACATCTTGAAAGTGAGTGAATATATCGATTACTTGCCGTTTTGACTGTGAAGGTGTGAACACTCCATTTATCTTTGACTGCCTTTAGTTACATGGTGAAAATATTCAAGACATTCATTTTTTTTCTTTCGCTTTTTTGTTTAAGGATGCTTCTTATCACTTGTCACCTGCTCTATTGCAGTATTGATGATTTTATTAAAAGGGACAGTGCCAACGAGTAAAGAGACTATATTGCAGTGAGCTTTGTTTGAATTGTTATACTTCATATGGGTCTAAATTGTTATCAAAATGGCAACAGATCTTACATTTATAGCAAATTTTGTAGAAAGTTATTGCTTTTAAACCCACTGTGGATGATGTGAAAGTGGTCATTTCTGTGGATCCCCATCACTGATTTCTCAATTTATTTGTGAGGATCGTCGTAATGTCTGCTCATGTTGATCAGCCTAACACTCAGGGACCTTGGGATAGAACACTGACTCGAACAAAATATGTGTCAACGAAAAACATAATTTTCTGCAGTCTTACCCTGTCTTTATGGGCTGCCTTTTTTTTTTTTCAAATTGTTTTCTAATTATTTTTTTTCTTCAAAATTCTCTCCTTTTTCAGAAATATTGTGAAGTGATCCCTCTAGATTCTGGTATTGACTACAGAAGGTTAAGCTTACCAGCAGAAGGGAAAGTGTTCTTTGTGTAAGTGTAAATTTATCTTTGTCTGGGGTACTGAGGGTTTTACTCTATCTAGTCAGGCTGCTGGGCCTGGAAAAGATGAGTTTCACTGTTTGGTTACCTAGGAAACACCATCCTCTCTAGAGTTTCACTTGAAAAAACAGCATAGATGGAAATGGGCCATGTTGAGGTTCTTATTGAAAAGTGCTGACGGGTCAAATGTTTATAGAGATGATAGAATCTTGCTCATAATTAGAAAGAAAAAGTTCTTTTGCCAGGGTGGTGGTGTTTGTTTTCTGAAAGATTGTGGGTTTAGGCAAAAAAGGTTCATGAGTAAGTAAGACCCTGAAATAGCACCTACCTAAACATAGGTTTTATATAGCATTTATACCATCTCTTTAGCATTAGATATATAGTTTGTAAATTTAGGTAATTCATTTGACTGATCTGTAAATTAGTTATTTATTATGAAGAAACATTGGATTCTATTTTTTTAAAATTGTACCATGCTGTATACCATAAACTCACTTAAAATTTGCAACATGTGGCACTTTATGACAGTTGTCAGCTTATGCTTGCTTTTGAAAATGAAAGTCAGCAGTGTGCAGCATAAAGGATATTATTTTCTCTCTCTCTCTTTCTCTCTCTTTTTAAAGAGGTTCCAAACAGCAGACAGATCCTCATATTGATGCTGTGATAGAGGAATACAAGCAAATACAAGGAACAGGTAATATTTTCAAAGTACTATTTATAATTTTCTGAATGCTAATTATATGTGTATATATATATATATATATATATATATATATGTATATATTGTCTCTGTTATAGAATTGAGCTGGATATTAGGCCGTGTTATTACTATTAGACCTGCTTGCCTTGAACATGTAGTTTGGCTTTTGACTCAACGTGACGTAACCCTTCTGGTGAATTTCTCTCTCTCTCTCTCTCTCTCTCTCTCTCTCTCTCTCTCTCTCTCTCTCTCTCTCTCTCTCTCTCTCTCTCTCTCTCTCTCTCTCTCTCTCTCTCTCTCTCTCTCTCTCTCTCTCTCTCTCTCTTTCTCTCTTTCTCACAGGTAGAGTTGTACTGCATAGTTCTCCCTTACTGGATGTTCACATGTACTTTACTTTTACTTTTCCGATCCAGCGGCCATTTGAGTTCTAGCCCTTTTGCCTGTCACTATGGCAAAGAATTAAATATTCACGTGTAAATATAATGAAATACGCTGGCAACCCAGTGGTGATAGAAATGTAGCCTTTTTGGATACCTTTCAGGGGACAGCAGATTAGTGGACAGAGGGATTTACCAAAGGAGAAGTGAGAACTTTGTCTGCCTTTGATTAAAGTGAGGTAATTCATTAGATTGACTGTGAATTAGTTATTTATTTGAAGAAATTGTGGGTTCTATTCTTTTTTTAGAAATTGTGCCACACTGTAAACAATAAAGCTCACTTTGAAATTTGCAAGATCCATTTTGGTATTACTCCTGATCTTGAAGTGGTAATCTTGAGAAAGGCTGTATTTTTTTTTTCCAAATTGTCTTTGCGCTTGAAAAAAAACCTAAGTTAATCATTTGCCTAGCACTGAGTGTCCACTTTCTCAGGTAAGTCTATAATATTGTCTGTGTGCTGATGACTACTGTCAGGGGCTGTTTGGTGATGGGACAGATGGATCCACAGAGATTTTTTTTGCCCTTTTGCTCCCCAGTGCATCCTTTATCTACTTTATTATCATTATTCTCTTCCTAGAGCGAGATCTGAGGACACTGACCATACTGGGAAGAAAGCTGGTGCTACCTGTGACTTACGGACGTGTGCTTGATACGAGTTTTGACAGCATGTGTCGCAAGGTAGCATTTCTCATTTTTAGAATGCGATATGTTTCTTTTTTGAAGCTTTTATTCTAAGGCTGTTAACAGACTGGCATCTTTTGTGAGGCCGTGAGAGGCTTCGTCGTGGCAAACGGAAGGCATGAGTTTGATTCCCGTATGTAAAGAATTTTTATTGAATATTTCTGTCTTTCTGACTGAATGTTGGATCCCTCTCAACCCGAGTTGAGAGAGTTGGCCCTGACAGGCAAGATAGAGGCAGTTTGCTTCCTGATTATCTAAATAGTGTTGATGGGGAGCTTAAAACATGCACAATTACATTTTATGAACCGTTACCAATCATAGATTGTGAACTGTGTTGTATGGGTTCATTCATTGAATAAATTCTTATACTTCAAGTCGCCTACAGGTCTGGTTGGGTGACAGATGACTGCTTTTGATTTTTGTCCAGCTTGGGAATATTCCACTGAACAGTTAAACAGTGTCAAGTAATAGTTTACATTTGTTGCTCACGTTCACTTTAAAAGCTTGTATTCAGGCTCTACCAGTAGGCAATAAATTTCCATTTAGTTACAAATGTCTGTAAAAATTTAGCTTTGGTGAATCAATTTCTAGATCTGTTTTGTGTTGTGAATCTTGTGTAGTGCTTTTGAAATCCATGACTGAAAAAAGGGTCACTTGTGTATTGAATAATAATAATAATGAAGATCATTTCTATAGCGCCCACTCCCGTGTACATAAATGCATGTACGAACAATATTCACGCACGCGACACACATACGCACACACACTAGCACACACACACATACACACACAAACACACACACTCACAAACCCATTACACGCACACATGTGCTCACACATGCGTGCCAAAAACACACACACACACACACACACACATGCACACACACACACACCTACTTGCTCATCACACGCGCTCGCTTACACATCGTTACGAAATGAGATCGTACACCAAATAAAATGATAATATACACTATGCAATTCGCTAAATTACATAAATGGATACATAGTCATTTACATAACATTGTACTGAACTTGAATCTACTGACATAAAAATGATGTTATGAATCAGGAAGATGGTGATTTATTTCTGATGTGTGCCTGGACTCATGTTCATCTCTTATCTCACAGAACCTTGGTGCAGTTGATTATCTGGAAATCAGCAATGAGTTTGATGTGGTCATCTTGCGTGACACGCCCACTATGAACTTGAGCAATCGCACGGAGGCGCGGCGGTATATCACCCTCATTGACACTCTGTACGATAATAAGGTGAGGTCTTGTTTGTGGTATAGTAGTGGTTATGGGTGTAGTCTTGTTTGTGGTATAGTAATGGTTATGGGTGTTCATTCCCTTGTAATGCCATCACTGGCTGCTTTTGAATTTATAATAGTACATAACAATATTCAAACTAATGAGGGAGTACTTTTTTGATGTGAGTGAAAAGGAGTTTCGAATCAGTGTATGCCTTTGAGCTGTGAAGAAAAGAAGTTAAGTTGTTTGCAGGTCAAATGGATGTTATGATGAATAGAAGTGGAAGTAGAAAATAAAATATGTCACTGAAAGTTTATAATGTGGAAATGAATTTATGCATAGCATATTTGTTTTTTTTCCCTTCGCATTTTGCTTTATACTTTGACCTTCAATTTTTGGTCAAGGAATTAACAGTAACTCTTCTGTCCAAAATCTTTCCATGATTGTGTGGTATTAAATACTTGAACCTGTTGCTTACAAAAAAATTAAAAAATTAGGCAAACCTGTTTTGTTTAGTTACAAGAATTTGTTTGGCTGTTTTTCTTGTGCTTGCTGTTATGTATTGAATGCTGTAAAACTGTTCATTCATCGTCTACTTTTATTGTTCTACTATTGGATGGGTGGATGAATTAAAAGAATTAAAAATGTCTTCTTGGTCTATGTGAAATATCCCAGCATTGTTCAACTTTGTGCTCTTCTTTTGAAGCTCTCGCTGCCTTTGCCTTCCGTTACAGGTGAAACTGGTGATGAGCTCATCATCTCCCATACAAGAGCTCTTTTCTGTTGGAGATTTGAGTAGTCATGACGCCGAGGCCAACATGGCTCTCATGGATGACCTTGGAATTAACGCAGTAAGTAAAATTTAGCAAGTGTTTACTGTGAGGTCCTCGGGGAAGTTAACAGTTTGGTCCTTCTGAAAAATGAAGAAACTTTTATAAGCATAAATACCAAAGAGTATTGTTGCTCTGAAAATAAGGCAAGGAACCCAACACTTTATTTATTAAAAAATGGCCATAAATGTACAAGCAATGGCAGGAACCCTGAGATTATTTTGAGGGAAAAAGAATAAAATCTTTTTTTGATATTTTGGTGTCATATTTAGCGCAGAAAAATGTAAAGAATGAAAAATGTGCTGTGTGAACTTTGTGAAAGTTATAACCATTTTTGAGGTGGACTTGTTAGAAGAGGTTTTCTATATTTCAGCAATGTTGTTACTGTGCGTGTGAGAGTTATGGCTTTGATGGTACCTGCTGATCATAATCCTGTTCTCTCTCACTTTTAGATTGTGAAAATGAAAAATAGTTGGAGAAAAGTAGTTAGAGAAATAAGCTAATGAGCCTGCTAATCATCGTCGGATTTTCCATTGCTGATGTTCTATTAGAGTTATTGCTATGGAGACAGACTCAGTAGTAGTAAGGTCTGGAACAAGCAGTCTTCTCGCAGCAGATGGGTATTCATTTTGAGTAGAGCACATAATAATATGTGAGGCAGCGTGGTGGAATCTGGCTCTCGTCAAAATAATCAAAGTGAAGAAACTTGCATTTCTCCGCAGGTTTGTGAATTTTTATCAAATTTTTGTTTTTTGGCTCAACACCTTTCAAGCCATTAAACAACTCATTTCTGAGTGGATTTTTTTATAAAAACGTTGATTAAAGTCACAAAAAATGTAAATTTTCAGTTACCATGGACTCTTAAGCTAAGGAAATAACTAATCTTTGGTGGCCATTTTCTCACTAATTTTACCTCTGAAAACAGGTGACCCCACCTCCTTCATTGGCAAATATCTTGACTTGTATTCAAGATAAACGGATATTTTGTTCATTGAGATAAAGACGAGAGAACAAGCTTTAAGATGACACCAATAACTCTACATGCCCAAAATTTGACGAGAGCCTGGTTCCACCACGCTGCCACACATATACAAAAAAGTAAGCTTTCTTACCTTCTTATTCGATAAAGCATGGGTTATTAATGTTCATGAATAGGTTGTCATTCCACCCAGTAGTTTTAAAATCACTCTATTGTGTGAGCTCGGCAAACACAAGTAACATTTCAAGTAATGTGGTGGGTGTGGAAGGATTTGACCGTTCTGGTCCTATACAGACTGTTGAATTTCTTGTGAATGGGGGAGAAGGCATTGAAATAAAGTAAAGCGGGACATATGTTGCTCTGCCAAAACTGCGGATACTTGTGTTTTCATATTAACCCTTTTTTAAATCGAAGAGTATACAGACCCGGTACTAGAATTAATATTTTTTTAAAAGATAGAAAGGAAAAAAAAAGTAATGTTTCTTTTCACCCTTAAAATTTTTTTCTTGTTAAACTATAAAGTATGAGAAGTTCAGATCCTGACAAAAGAATTAGGATTTAAAAGAAAAGACTCGCACTGTCGATACTTCTGTCCCTTTTCCTGCCTACCAAGGTCTTTTCTTCCAACTGATGCATTTGAACTAATTAGAGAGTGTTTCTAAGTTTTAGTTATTTGTTACCATGCATCCAATTAATGAATGCTCTTTCCCAGAAATCGGAACTTGCTAGATCCAGCATTTTTACGGGCGAGGAGGAGTTATTTGCCTTTGAACGAGTTGTCTCTCGGCTTACAGAGATGCAGACGAAGGAGTACTGGGATTTTGACCGTCACGCCAAGTCCTCCGCTACTGGAAGCACTCAGTCAAGGTCAAGCTCGCAAAAATCTTGATGATGGCCCCTTTGCTTAGTTGGATCTATGTGCAAAGTTATTGGTTTATGTGGGGTTAGGGATTGTTTAAGAGACACAGACTGTGATAGTAGAATTTTCTTGTCTTTGTAATGCCTATATTTCATAGCATTGCAGATATATATTTTATTTTGAAGCAGTCTGTCTTTTGTCCTAAGTATATCTATGTCTTTTTTTCCCTGGCTGTCGCCCTCTCTGCGTGTTTCTGTCTGTCTGTCAGTTTGTCCAAAGTCTATTACAATAAGTCTCTTATCCTCTTTTTCTTTTCTTTCCTCCTCCCTATAGCCCATTATTTTTATCTTTCTGGCTGTCTTTTTCTTTCTCTCTCTCTCTCTTTCTCTGACTTTCAGACAATGTCTTCCACAATGTGTTGAGGAGCACGCCGTCCAATATATGCAAGTGCGTCTTTGTGTGATGCTTACATCCTATTGTGAACTGATTGTTCTTTGGTTTGAAGGTTGTCCAGGTGGTTCTTTCTTGGCGGTGGTCTGAAGTTGGCCGGTATTATCTTGTGGAGGCAGCAATATTATGTACTAGCAGAGTCTAGATTTTCTGTTTTTTAGGCTGTTTTTTTTTTTATAACATGTCTCAATCTGTGATCAGAGATTGTCCTAAAGTTGGGGACTAATGTTGTAGCGAATTTTTTCCTAAACCTGTTTTTATGCATTGAGTGGTAAATTCTTTTAGATTCTCATTGTTTTTCTCTCACTTTAACCTCTCTTATTTTAACTTATTCTTTGCTGGTATTTCTCAGTGTTTCGCAACTCTGCAATCTTTCTGTTACGATTTTCTTGTCAACTTAATTCTTGCCTGTTGACGTCGATGTCAGACTGAACCCAGCTGTTTTTTAAAATGGTTTCAAATTGAAATTTGCAGTTCTTCCTCTTCCTCTCTTTACCCTTGTCCCATACTTAGAATCACACTCTTGCCTCTTTCTCAACTCGTTCCTCTCACTTCTGATCTGAAACCTGAGTCTCCCACCTTAAGCCGGCTTTACAAAGCTTTATTTGTTTAAAAATCTAGAACATTTTACTTTATCTAACAAGAATAGCTAGTTAAATATTTTGTTTTGTATCGCCGTGAATATCTCCCATTTATGTATTTAGAAAATTTCGCTGCTGAGGATGGGGTCATGGCTTATTTACACCAATGTGTTTTGACGAATTTATTATGTCGATAAAAAGATATAGTTTAACAATTGACTTCAGTAGATGACAGTCTAGAAAGTTTGTTCTGTTTTTTTGCCTGCCAGCCATTTCACATTTTCTCAACCATTTTAAAGGATTTTTCTCAGTTTCTTTACGTACCGCTCAAGTTTTGGAGATTGATGGAATTATTGTTGACTTGGTTAATTGTTACGTTCTTACTTAATTTGCTTTATTTAATTACTTAAATCTTTTTTTCAAGTCTGTGTACCGAAGCAAGGGAATTGTTAAAATCCAATTCTCAGTTGCCTTGGAACTTCCTAGAAATTTTCCTTTTGAAAAAGAAAAAAGACAAAACAAGTGTTTTCTTGATTTGGAACTGAAAAAGAGTGAACTGAATTTTTTTTCAGTTGCTTTGCTTGTGATATTTATTTACTGAGCATTTACTTATTTTATGAGTGCCTTTGAGTTGTTTTTCTAACCTACAATACAGAGCACTGGCTACAGCAAATCAACTGGTGATGGACTGTTTTGTGATCCGACACACCATGATGAAAAGATTAAGACTATGTCCGATGTTATTCCATAAATCATCAGTTAATGAGTAACATCAACAAATGTACTCTTTTTCTTAGAATCACAAACGGGAAACTGCTTTTATCTGTACATGAATCATCATCCTACTCAATTCATAGTACTCCCCGGGGTGGTGCCACTGACTGAAGTGTCTTTAGGCCATTCCCAAAGGGGGGACATTTCTCGTTCTAATGCACAGTAAAACTGTAAATGGGATGATCCAACAATGTCAAGCTCATAACTGTGCTTGAACTACAACAGGGAACTGCTGCTTTTTCTTTCAAATCCTTACTATCGCCATTTCCCTCTACTTCTTTTGTATGTTTGTCACACTCTTGTGACCTGCTATTTCCGGGGTGCCTTGATAGTTGAAGCAGACTTTGTGCTGTTGAAGCTAGAGAGGTGAACAGAATAAGTCTGATTCCCTGTAAGGACTTCTCTGTTGACATCCACCCCTTGGCGCTATAATGACCTTATGCAGTTGTGAGCGCCGTAAAACCTGTACTAAAACTAAGCTTAATTCATCATAGTGTCTATAGACTTGTTGTTTCATAATCAACAGCTACTGATTAGTTTATGACTAAAGAGTTATATGCCTAGCAGTGCTAAATGTGTTGACTTTGCCCTAAAAGCAACACTACTGGCTCACAATTCTTGCCACAGTTAAGATGAAACCCAAGTTTTGGTTGTTATATTAGAACTCCCTGGCTTCAGTTACAATTCATCCATTATCCATATAATGAATGATATATTATATGCAGACGCTTTTCTTTCAAATTGATTTCGGTATGCACAGGCTTTAAGTGCACTCAAGAGTTTTGTCTGGTCTTCATAAGCTTCATCCTACTCTTCTGCTATATTTTTTTGTTTTTGTTTTGTTGTGAGTGATTGTGGTGATGGATCTTTTGAAGTGATAAAGGATACCAATACCAATCCCAAGACAAGTTAACAAAACATTGGAAAATTTGTTGAAAGTGTCAGGCTCATTTGTATAGATGTGTATTCCATGTTCATACCGGTTTCTTTTTGTTGTTAACAGAGATGCCATACAAATAAATACTGCCGTCATTACAAATTTGTTTTGAAGTTTTCAACAGAGATACTGTTACTCTCTAAGTTACTGCCTATTGTAGAGCCCTTTACATGTGTGGAGGGCATCATCTTAGCTCCTAAATTCAGTGCATTCAAAATAACCTGTATCACACTCAGAATGGCATGAAACTTGAAAAATGGTCAGAAAAGGGCAAAAGATTGTTTACAGCATATTCTGTTCAAGCTAGTAATTTCAAAAACAAAAATTCAATTTCCTAAAGAACAACAATGGATACACACAACTGTCTCTGTGAATACATATATATATATATATATATATATATATATATATATATATATATATATATATATATATATAAACATATACAATTGAACCTGTCCTAGCCGGAATCGCAAGAGAGCAAGAAAAAATATTTTATTTTGTCTCAGACATTTTTCTTCTTGTGCAGGAGAAATTAGAGGGAGGGAGGTTCAGAGGGCCTGTTGTTTTGTTAATTAATTTCTTTAAAATTCTCAATTGACACATTTTAGATAATTGAGGATCATTTAGGAGGTGGGATTTGATCCTGCCTGTCGGGGACAACTTGGGCTGAGAAAGATACAATGACCCAGCAGAAAAACTGAGGTACATGTACTTGATAAAAAAGACTTTCCCCTCACAAGAATTGAACTCTGGTCTTCTGTGTGTGACAAGGAAGCACCTAATCACTCCTCCATAGATGCTGTAACCTGTAGGTTCAAGGGTTGCCTGTCCTTTTTGACAATCAGTTGTTGAAACTTCACAGCTCCCAAGTGCTATCCTAGCCGCCCTGATAATGGCAGGCCTAAGTGTAACACTAATATATCCCCACCACAGTGTTTGCATCTCATAGGACTGCTGTTCGACCAATTAAAAATAGAAATATTGAATGTCTCCTTTGTTTTACTCATTTATGTAAAAAAACACACAAAAAAACACCCCTCCCCTGCATGTACAACAATTCGGGGAACTTTTCTCTTGGTTGGCTATACAATTAGCGCAGCTGGCAGTGGTCAAATGAATTCAATGACAATGACAGTCTTTATTCTTCTCGCAGGGAGAAATTTGTCTTGGTCGTTAACAATGGCAGTAGACGTTAGAAAAAGTTAGACCTAAAGGTGCACTCGCGCAAACGCACAACAAGACAGGACATTAGGCCTAGTAAATACATGTCTCACGTTCTGGGACAACCCGCTCCGTAAAACATTCTCTCTCTCTCTTTCTCTCTCTCTGTTTCATTTGTAGCACTGTGTGTTCAGTAACCTCACTGCAGTGGGTACGAATGAATTTCTATATCTGTCTGTTCTTGCTTTTCTGGAAATGTATCATTTACTGCGGGTCGATAGTTGAAATTTCGATTTCAGTGGATGGCTGTGGTCACTAAGCATTATTTCCGCCTTTTTAGAACGTTTGTCTTGAGCAGATATTCAAAGTTACTTAGGTCTCTACCAATTGTTCTTGATTATTTTTATGATGTGCGGTTTTCCCAAATTGCTACCCTAGCAAGTGCTACCAAAATTTATCAAAGTTTCTATGGTGGTGGTGTAGAATATCTGAAGGATGGATGGATTCAGATTGAAAGACCTAAGTTTCCTCAGAAAGTAAAGCCTCTGGCTACCCAGGAAGTTTCTTTGCTGGCACGCCATTTGAGCACTCTGAAGACAAGCAGAGGTTAGATTTCACCCCTACTCATTCTGACCATCAACATTGCTCTGGGTTCACATCAATGGGTAAAAATCACCCCCAAAACCGCGTCCATTCCCCCTTCCTCACCTAGCGGTGTGATGTTAAAGTTAGAGGCCGTTAAAATTTTGTATGAAAGAAAGGTTGAGGGGGCAAAGCATTTTCCCTCTCTAACAGGTCAAAACTGTCCTATAGGGAAGGAATTTCTGCCCGTTTGCGCGTTGTGAAGGTTTCCATTTTAGACAGATATATTATAGAGGAATTTTTCAAGGGAGGAGCAGAGCGATACTGTCATGACAGATTTTCTATCTCAGACAGGTTTCCGTAATGGCAGGCTCAATTGTATACATGCTCCTACTGCTAAGAGAAATGAAAAATATTTTTCTTTAATGGCATGGGGATAGGTGAAGATCTTTTTCAAAAACTGATAGTCTAGTTGTGAGTCTTTTTTTTGTTCCTTTGATTCATCTGATCAGAATTAAAGAAAAAAAAATTCCAAAGGTAAAAAATGTTTTCTGTGCTTTCACTTTGTTTTGGCCTATGGGAGATTTCCATGTGTTGATGCATGACACTTTTTAGGACTTAACATCATATTCATAGGACAGCTGTTGTCAGACATATCTTTCATGTGGTGGTTAGTATGTCAGTTATCCTTACCATACCGGTACTAAGATATTGAATTTTTAGCTCATAAAAAGTATGAACCTTCAGTGTCAGGCAGCGATAGAAGCATAAGGTGAGCACAGTGTTGTTATTTAAACAAACAAAACTAAATTAAAGTACAGTAGATGTCTCTTCTTACTTGTTAGGATCAAGTTGATGAACCAGCAGTTTCTTACTTTTCAGATTTATTGTAAGAATGCTGTGAAATAAAGATAGTATTGTTTTTAATATATTTGACTTCCAAGTTTTTGGAGTTTTATGCATGAATTCAAAACAAATGTCCTAGTACTGTTTATGTGCTATTTACATACACCATACTCATGTATATGTATACTACATAACCATTTTCATACATCTATTGTTCTCGTTTGGGATGGGATTGCACTTTCATTTTAGAATTGCTTTCCTAAATTTGATGGCTGATGCATGCTTGCCTTTTCTAATTTTTTTTTCTTTTCATTTAGTTTTTGTTTTTAGTTAAAATTTTATTGTGTTTCTAGAATCAATAAATTTCACTAATAATGAATTGTACTCAAGAGCTGAATGGATATTTTCTAGTAAAAATTATTTATCTAGTGCAGATATTGACGCTCTGTCTTTGCGCATGAGTCGAGTTTGTAGCCATGCACAGGCATTGTTTCATTGGGATAGAGACTACAGTAGAGCTGTGATGTACATACATGTGTAGGAATATACAACAGTACAAAGCACAAATTTGTTTCCTATTGAAAATTGAAGGAATATGTAATCAGATGTAATGTTCTTAGAACTAATTGGACATGTGCACATATGTCCATGTATGCGAGTCCTTTTAGTCATGAACATCATCACCTTGGAGTCAACTTTCTTGTTTTACATTTTTGTTAGTGGATGTTTGTAAAGCACTTCGGTTTCACACCTCCTACTTTTGTTTCTTTTTTGTTAAGTTTTCATTTGCGACAGTTGGGATTTTACTCTCTTTTCTTTGATGGACACACCACTAGCTCAGTTGGCTCTTATGTTGGACTAAAGTGTGGTTTGAATCCCCAAAGATCTGTTCTTGATCTTGAATTATTTGAGAAACTTCATGCTTTCCGCTCATACTCATGGGCTTGGTAATATCAGAGACAGATGTTGTATTGGAGGCCCTGTCATTTAGAGATAAGCACAGTGTGTTGAAAGGGATGTTAAAAATTTACCTTTATACACATCATGCCTGTGTGTTTTTGGCATTGAAATATTCAAACTCTAATATTAATCCAAAGTAAAAAGATGGCCTTATCTCTACCCTTATTTGAAGGCATAGCATCTTTTAGCTATGTAATAAGACCAGATTACCTGTGGCTTGCAGTTGTACTTTCAGCTACTATAGCTTGTTTGTTCAGAATAATGGAACAAGTAAGGTCTTTTTATGTGAAACATGTTGTTAGTGATTTTTTTAAAAAGCCAACAAACTATCAAATATTCTTAATTATAATAAAGATGTGAATTTGAAAAAGCACAACAATATGTTCTGCAGACATTGAATTGCAACCATTTTAGCCGTGTTAAAGCATTGTGATATTGAAGATTATATTTTTGCCAATGCCTACATCTTCTTGTTAAACCTGTTGAATATACCGGTATTCTATGTGCCATGATCAGAATAAATGGTATTAGTATTATAAGCTGCTAAGACAACTGTTGTGCTTGATGAGAAGATTGTAGTGTAATGGTTGTTGTTTCCGTAGTTGAGGTACTTTTCACATCTACCTGTGTTTTGCTCGATAGTTTTTAGCGTTAGCCTGATTCCTTGAACTATTCATTTTTACGTCAATGGTTTTAATTTTGTATCACCTTTCATTTTACCTTTGCTACCTCTCGTGTGCCAACATGTGACCGTTATATTCCTATTGTGCAGACCCATATTGAACTAAAACTCATCCATAAACATTTTACTAATGTGTCTCCACACTTTGTTTTTCAATGGCATAGTCTTTTGTGTTATAAATGGAATTTTTGGCAATGTGTGACCCTTAGATAAGACCCTACAAAATTTTTGTGAAAACCTCTTTGTGAACACGGTTACTGTGCTAGAATTGTTCATGTTTTTAAATAAACTCGCATACACTTACATTGTTCAGATGTAAGTCTCTTCTCCAAGAACATTCTTATCATCATCAGTGCATGGGCAAACTACTAACTGAAAATGATATTCTGATAGTTTCGTGTGAAAGGCATGTACTTCTTAAAACTAGCCTCCACCTGATATATTATGTGTCAAAAACAGATAGCCCATGTGTACCTAGTCCCTCAAGTCAACAGAGCGCTTTGCCAATGAATGAGTTAATAGCTGAACAGTCTTGGGCCATGCAGTGAATGGGTTAGTATCAGTGAAAAACCACACAATGAAGGGTCAACAGTCTTTGTTCCTAAAGTCTGGGACCCCCCCCCCCCTAAAATGTCTTAGATTGTGGTCAGGTTGCTGCCATCTTGTTAACCCTATCGGTACGTCGTGTTTTACTATCATCGTATCCATAAGATGTGGGGAACTCTGTGCCACCCCTTTTCAAAGAGGAAATTTACTCGTTAATCCGATCTGTACGCTTTGCATAGCAGCTGTCTGTCAAAATTATTTTTTGAGAAATACTGAAAGTTTTAAAGATATCTTCGTACTAGAAGTAAAGTATTCTAAAATGTGAAGAATACAACCCCAGGATACAAAATGACCCCAGGGCGCACAGATAGGGTTAAATACCCTACTAGATGCAGCGCTGGTCACTTCAAAGATAGTGCACGTCATCCCATATCCCATGTCAGAACTTTGGGCAGAGCAGGCAAAGATAGTGCATGTCATCCCATGTCAGAACTTTGGGCAGAGCAGGCAAAGATAGTGCACGTCATCCCATGTCAGAACTTTGGGCAGAGCAGGCAAAGATAGTGCACGTCATCCCATGTCAGAACTTTGGGCAGAGCAGGCAAAGATAGTGCACGTCATCCCATGTCAGAACTTTGGGCAGAGCAGGAAGTACAAAAAATATTTTGGATCCCACTGGGATTTAAACCTTGAACTTCCATGTGGCTCATCAAGGTATCAAACAACACTAGCATTACAACAGCCTGCTGAAACACACAGTGATTGCCCTTCTCACTTTACAATAAATACAGTCATTTCCGCCTAAGATCCCGATGCTCGGAAACAAGGAAAATGCGGGATCTTTCTTAGACGAGCGGAATCTTAGCTGACGGACCAAGGGAAGAATCTATGGTGACCCATGTTAAAGCCCACAACCTGTAAAATGGTCTCCTTTCCTACTAAAATGAACTAAAGTGACCCCTGGGTGGGTTTATGTCATATTATGGCGAGCAAAGAGTGGCAAAAATTGATGACCAATCAGAGTGGCATGAGCCATGCAATTGACACGTTTATTATCCTATTGTAAGTCTTAAGTTTTTCTACGTTTATCCAGTTGCCCCTCCTCTCCCCTTATCTGTCCAAAATTTATAGCTTTCCATCTCTGACAGAGTCCCCCGGCCTTTGTCACTCTTACATTGTGATCACACCAATTAAAATTAAAATCTGTCTTGCAAATTTGGAAATAGAGACAATTTCCTGCTGCAATGGTCAGGGAAGAGTTCACAGTTCGAGTTTGATGTGATCTCACCTGGAGCGAATGTGTAGGCTCTACCCACCCAGTGAGTGCTGCTAGTTTAGATTGCGAGTTCAGATGTGAGTGCGATGTTTGGGTAAACAAATGCGTCGTAAGTTCACACCTCGGTATGATCCAGTCTGGGGCAAACATTGTACTGTTTCATCCAGTTTTACAACGCTTTAGTGATCACATTCACTAGAGTGGCTGATCTTTGAGCGATGGGCAGTTCGATGATCTCAACTTTTCACTCTTACTTGATCGGCTGAGCCTGCCCGGGTTTTTGTTCCGCAACTTATGGTCTGAAATGCGGGATCTTACTAAGATTCTTAGTTGAATGTAGACCTTCAGAGTGAATCAGAGTGGGATTTTAGGGGTGACTTTTGGTATAGTAAAATTGTTTTCTTAAAACAGCGGGATCTTAAGCGAACCGGGATTGTAAGCGGTGGGATCTTAGGCGGAGACTACAGACTACTGTGTAATATAGTGTAAAGTGCATAGAGCCTGCTGCTGAGCGGGGATATGCGCTATACAAATGCTATCTATTATTACTGTATCAAGAAACACTTTCAACAAAATCAGAAGACTATTTTTTAACCCAGAATATATAGAACAAGAAGACTTGTCATATATCAATTCAATTGTTTAATCAAGTGACAGGTAAGAAGCGTTGTGGACTAAAAGCGCTCCTTTTGACAATAAGCACAGCTGACAAGACATTTAGTCAAGACAAATGAAAATGATCAGTAGAATGACCATTACACACAAGGTATACTTACTTAAGACAATCAGTATTGACAAAGGACAGTTAAATGAGTATCCTATGAGAAAACTATGAGCTTTTATTTATCTACCACAGAGACAAACTAGAAAAAGTTAACATTCAAACATGACTCTGAATTGACAATGATATTATAAAAAGGGAAGAAGTGGACCCAGATAAAAGTTCATGGAGGGACAAAATCATTTGCTTCATCCCACATCTTGTGTCCTTAAACAAGATCTCACAGAGATAATAAACACTATGGATAAATTTCATGAAAATATGTTAAAACAAATTGTTTACTCTCTCACAAGTTACGTTTCAAAATAGGACAAATAGTAGTAAGAAACTGGTATTATTAAGCATGTCAGCAATTTGTAACTAGAAACAGAGTACCAAAAGATGAGAAGCATGCACTAATATTCAACATTTAGGTTATGCAAGTTTCTACGATAGGAACATTGGACATAAAGTCATAAAGAATACTTTAGCCGGCTGTTATTACACTAAACACCGGTGTAATGACACTTACAAAGTACGCAGTAAAAAAAAAATCTGGAACTCACTCACCACCATTACCACACCCGTATCGGCCATAACGGCCGGCAGCTCACTACCATGACCACAAAAGGTGATAGATCTAGACCTAAAAAAATGTCTGAATAAAATTTCTTCTGGATCTACTTCAAACATCCCATTAAATTTTAAAAAATCAGAATTGTAACAGTTAGAGACAGCCTGCGACCAGTCACAGTGCATCTGCACAATATCATATGACATCATTAGCTATTCATCAACATCCCTAACTCTGTTACTCTGGCAATAATAAGCTAACCAGTGTGCTAATTTTTTGTTGTTATATGTTTCTGTGTATTTGTATAGCATTTTTATGACAGAAATAGCAATACACTCACAAAGAACAGCAGAAATATTGTGCTTGGTTGGATAGGAAGTTAAAAAAAAAAAGTTTTGGCACCCAAAATTGTCATTTTTTAAACATCTGCAAATTGTAAAACAAGAACAAAATGACATAGACTTATACTTAAGTCTTTCTGTTCTGTAGAGATCAACATTTATTGTAGATTTCAGTTTCAGTACTGTAACATTATAGTTGATTTTTTTGGGGGGGTAAAAGACCTGACATGAAATGGTCTAATCTGAGTCAGGACTCCTCCAGTGAGTGAGATTAAAATAGTTATCAAATTAAAATCTTCATATATGAAAGAGGAAAAATTGACATAGAATGTTCATAAGAAAGAGGTACAATTTTCTCTGAAACATTTTCAAAAAGTTCAATCATCCTTGCGCAACAATTTCATCAAAAGAGAAGAGGAGCAGCTGACAGAGTAGAGCCCACAAACTGATGTAGATTTTCCGAAACCAATGTCACTATGTCGTAAAATAATATTAAGTAATAAGAATTTGATCATTGCATTCATCACACTCACAGGCAACTGGCCAGAGATTGGTATAGAAAGAAAAATCACAACGATCTTGAAATACATACAGTAGAGTCCACGAATCTCGAACATGAAAATCACCAATTCTCGGGTATCTCGAACATAATGCTCGGTCCTGTTTCAGTCCCTATAATTTCTTTGTATTGACTTCACATAGTTCCCGAACACTCGGGACACCCAAATCTTGAACAAAACCAATTCGCATTCTCAACTTAAGACCCGGCTTTACAGCCTTATTGGCCGTGGGAACGCGTTACTTTGTAATAGTTATAATAGTCAAAACCTGGTCCTTGTCTCACCAAGCCGGGGGGGGGGGGGGGGTGTGCGTGCGTGTGTGTGCGGCCTGGCACAGGAAAGGGGTTGGGGAGTGATGTTGAAAGCACTGCATTACTGGTTCACCACGTGTGCAATCATGCTGTAGGACGCGTGCGGTGCAAATGGCAAGAGGCGTAACTTTCTGTAAGCCAATGAAATGAGAGGAAAGGAATGACTTAGAAGTCGACTGTGCACACGTGAGATTTTCTGCTTTCCACTTTCATTCATCTTCTGGCTTTCGCACAGTCAAAACACGTTCATCAAGGGAACTAACAACGTTAATTGTTTTAATGTTCTTTTTCACCTCCATTGATTTTCTTTCTATTTCTTTGTATTTGGGGCTTTCATGGACCTGACGAATTACGGAAATCTTGAACACTATTTCCAATCCCCAACGAATTCGAGTTACCCGTGTTTGACAAGTCTTAAATCAGCAATGGCCACCAAGGTCCATTTTCCAGTACACTTACTTCATACTGTATATTTTCCCAAAAGTTCTTTTGCTAATCTACTCATAACTTACCAAAATCTAGTAATAGCCTTTTAAGACTTCTGGATTAGAAAAAAGACTACAGAAAAACTTATAACAAAACATAAAGGACAGGCACATTTCTGATAACAAATTCATGTTTATGTATTCAACCTCAAGAATGAAAACACCCATGGAATGGAAAGCAGGAGTGCACATATAACAGAACATAAAGAGCCTTTCATGGCTAAGCATTGAGCTTGGATCTAAGATATATTGCAGACTTTTTGGCATCAAGATTGGCAAATGTTAGTTAGTGTCTTCAATCAATAAGGAAAAACCTGAGAGCTGACTTCTTTTTTCTGACAAAGATGACAATTAATAAATAAAACAATAGGAAGTTTGGAACATGGCAAAATGGTGATACTAGGCTATAGTTTTAAAAAAAACAACCTGTGAATCTAAATAGTAAATACATACATGTAGAATTGGGATCAAAATTTAAAAGCAAAGTCACACAAAAAAGTTTTATTACAACCAACCTACAAAACGAGGCCCTCATCATACATTTTCATTTCACTCATATCACAGTTTAAATAATATGATAGCATAATCCAGTCTAGAGCATTTACATCCCCTCAGCCACTCTCACTCCACTCACACTTGTACACACAAGCATACACATGCCCAGATATTCATTAAACACAGGCATCTGGTACGTCCATCCCCATTTCAAATACACACACATACATACGCACACACACACACATACATACATACACACACACACACACATATATATACATACCAGAACTTATTAATGTAAAAGCAAAAGCAGCCCTGAACAAACCAACATTACTATTTAATACTATGGTATATTTGCAAATGTTCAAATTGCTCTGCAGACTACAGCTATTGTGTGAATTAGCTGTAACAGTCAGGACCAAAGTTTATTTAAAGTGGAATTTTTGTGTGCCCAGGTCTGCATCCTGTATTCTTGTTCAGGTCAGACATGAGAAATGCCTATCGTAACTATCACAGAAAAAGAATAAAAAATCGGAACCCTCGACTGATCTATCAGTAACACAGTACTGGCTCGCAAAACAACAAGAGAACTTCCAAATTGAGATGAAATCCTAGCCACTTTTTACCTAACCACAATTCTTTCACCTTACTTTACTTTTGCTTTTCCCATCCAGCGGCCATCTGGGTTCTAGCCTTTTGGCCTATTCTTAAACAACTTTATTAAGGCATTAGACAGCAAATGAGCTTGAAGAGAAGCTTTCTGATTTCCCATTATAAAAATGAAACATTATGGTACCTTAAGGTCAACACAGAGTGGTTGTTCAGTGCAGTATTTCTTCATGAGCGATATCTATCAGGACTGATGCAAACAACACAAAACTTAAGAATGTAAAAGCTAAGAAGCCTTGAACAAACCAGCATTATTATGGCATTTGCAAGTGTACTCTTGGTATGACAACATTAATGCACATATTTGCGAGGCTTATTTTAGGCTTCTTTCACCGAAATGAACCTTCTTGTATTTCAAGAACAATCAAAGAAATAATTGCTAAAGTAGACTGAGCTCATCTCTGACCTAGTCCACACACTGCAGCCCCTTAAAATTTGACTTCCAATTCCTTGCAAAAATTCTATTATTAAAAAGACTGAAAGAACGTTGTAAAGTTACACCAAAAAAAAAAAAACAACAACAAAAAAATCAGCAAAGATCAGAAGGTAAGCCCTCCTCTTCCTCTTCATCATCATCGTCGACTTTGTCAATATCCTCCTTATCATCCTCATCTCCTGGCTGACTGTAGCTACTTGTGGTAGCATTTGATCGTGACGTTGTGATGCCCCCAGGGAACTTTAAGTCTCTTGCTAGACGGGCAAACTGAGGGAAGAACAATTACACATTACTGAAATAAGCTATGTTAAGACAAAAATGTTGAGCATGTCTTAGGCACAGTCTGCAAAAAAAACCTGACTAAATCTTAAGTGTGACTATTTGAAGAGGGCAAGCTGTTGGTGGGCACTCTGCTGTAGTCAACTCCCATTTTTATTTTCTAGTTTTAAGTAACTTTGTCCTTATCTGTTTCTTGTAAAATATGTGGACGACTGCGTCTACTCAGCATAAACTTTAACTCAATTAATACTAAATAGCAGCTAACTTGTAACCTGATGATTGCACATCTAAAGGGAAAACATCAATCACTGACAGAATCTGCAATAGAGCTTATTATTACTTTGAGAGATACCACTAGCACTGCAGATGATTTCAGGTACAGTAACTTAACAATGGCTACGAAAGGATAAAACTACTGTACCCTTGAGGTAGAAAAAAAAAATTGTGCAATAAAACAAACGAGTTGATTTCTAAATGACATCTCATATTATCAAAATACAATGAAAACAGACAAGCATAATATGAATAGCGCAACTCTTGACACACAACACTGCTGCATAGGATTTGACAATTCACAAATTGAATATTCCATAAAAGAAAATTCTAGGACTGTAAAAAGTATCATTCCTACCATGTTGTCTAAGTACTTGAAAATTGGCTTGGCCAAAGTTGCTTGCCCTTCCTCTTCATCCCCATCATCATATGCTCTCAGTAAGTCTTCAAGGGCTCCTGCTTCTTCGCTAGCACCGAATTCGGGATAACTGAAAAATAAATATGAGTACCAGAGATGATGCCACCTAAGGACTAACAAGGATTTTCATTTCAAAGCACTCATTGCGAAGCACCACAAAATACATGTAATAGTAGATATATATATATATACAAAAAGATAATGAAAAATGAATATACATCCCCTTCCTCCTTTTCAATACTCCTAGAATAATTTTCATTAATAAGTCTCAAAACACTGCAGTTTCTTGTGTTTGAAAAGCCTTTCATTTTGCCACGTTAATTTGTTCATGAAAGGCCAGGGTGCATAAATCAATAAAAACCTTTTTCCAAAATCTAGACCTTCCCAAACCTCACTCCTTTCTGTCTTCATTATCAGCTGTTTGGCAGGGTCTCAAAGATAACAAAACTGAGTGTTGTGTACAAGGTATATAGGCTACTCTTTCTAACACAGAGCCCTTTGATGCCTTGTAATTCAAGCTGTAAATAGGTGACTTGTTTCCATTCACAAGGACAAACAGTGAACGCCCACAGGTATGACTTCAACTACTCTAGAACTAGAACAGTACCAGAAATTCCAAACATCTGTTCCAACTTTTCTAAAGAATGGAGTGGTCAACAGTGTCAATTCCTGCGCTTAAGTCTAACATTGTGATAATTGAAACACAACCTACATCTGCCGCTCATAGGAGATCAACATGGATATTAACATGGCAATAGGCAAAAAACTTATGGACTTGTGATCTGGACAAACTCCTTTCTCTCTTTTTATACTTATGCTAAGGAGAGATCAATCACAAGTGGAGGTCAGTATTAAACACAGCTGGGTGGGCTTCAATGAGTAATAATCTTGATGAATTTGTCTCAATAAAAGGTTAAATCACACATTCTCAAAAAAAAGCATACGCACAGAATACGCAGACAAGAAGAAACTTTTTGAAAAAGGAACTTCTTGAAAGCTTATGTCTGCCCGTCTTGCTTTTGTTCCGCACCGAAACAACCCTTATTGTGTCGAGGTGCTTCTCTTTACTCAAAAACAAATACATGTAGAAGGAGTTGAAATGAGGATAACAGTATACCTCATAATGTCTTTTGTATGCTTGCCACCCAAGATCACAACAAAATTTTTCTTCTAAAAAAATAAAGGGTAAACTAAAGCACACACAAACAAAATTGAGCTAGTTTGATATAAAAGTCTACTTAAAACATTAACCCTTACCTTAAAGAGCTTCTAAAGAACTGATCAGCAGCAACATAGTCTTCCTGGGTCAAATAGAGAAGAATGATACCCATTGCAACTTTTTTAATGTACGTGTAATTTTCAGCTTCCAACCAGTACTTGATCTCTTGTTGCAAAGATTTGATGGCCTCTTCATATCTGTAATACAGTAAAAATGAAAACTGACTGAAAACAAGAAATAGCATTTATGATCATGCTTTTTATTTCTTTCCCAGAAAAAAAAAACCCCCATTGAAAAAAAGAGTTAAGATATCACAAATCTTAGTTCATTACAGCAATGAACTAAATGCATGTGATATTCTTCAAACTGATACAGCAGTATGAAGGGTCCCGATTCGGCAAACGGCCTGCACCAACGCGCGCTTTGCATAGAGCTCTAAATCTTATCAAAATTTTGAAATTTGCTTCCAAGTTTTTGTCCTTTGGTGGTGCCTCCCCTCCCGAGTGTATTTTTAAAAAAAATCCCCTCCTCCATTCCGTAGTCCTATATTTCATATTTTGCAACGCTCTGACTTTGAAAGAACTTTGGCGACCCCCCAAAAACGACAGTACTCACAAGATGCCGCACTAATTATTTGTGATACGAACGCATGCAGGTTCACTGACCGGTCACGATGGCGAGCCCCACAATCTAAAAATCTGACGACGCTTGTATTTTCTTTTTCTTTTTTTCCCACAAGTGACAGCACAGTGACGAGTCCGAGTACTGATTACATTTTATTTGCACGGCGACACAGCATTTACACTGCACAACTTGCATGTCACAAATGTAGCGTTACCACTTGCATGTCACAAATGTGGCATTACCAGTCTATCGCTGGCAAATTTCTGGGTGGTAATGAAAGCGAAAACAGATCTTGATTTTCCCAATCAAGCCTCGGTGTCACATACACTTCCACCTACCGCCATAGCCGCCTGTTCGCGTGAAGGTGAAACGTACTCTCCGACGCGGAAAAGCTGAACGAATATAATATCACAATCGCGACCGTCAAAAATGAACTAATTGACCTTATCGGACTCGGTTTTCAAATATTCGAAGTCTGTGAAACTGATACTATTTTGACAAAAAATGGGACTTGGTAATCGCTGACTACCGTGCCAGGGCTCTTCACTGAAAACTCTTGCTGGCTTCATCACTCTGTACACAGGTTAATTTACGACCGTTTACCAAATGACAAATGTTCACTACCTTCACGGCACATTTACTACAATTTATGATCTTTACGACCAGGGTGCCTAATTTACGACTTTTTTACGACTTCACGACATAGCTGGACACCCTGAGTGTGACTATGCATTCTCTGTATTTTAAAGTATGGGTACCAAAGTCATTTCCTTGCAGAGCCAATTATTGAAAATTAACTTATTATTTACTACAGACATAGTAAAAAATCTGTGGTCAGATGTTAGACTCTGACAAACACCATTTTTTAGATGGCATTTGCCCGAGTCTTGCATCCAGCCAACAAAAGAGAAATGTGCTGCGATTGAGAGTAACCATTAAAATGAATGATTAGACACCAGAAAGTTACCCTGAATGACCTAGAAAACTAAAGTACATAGACATGTGACTTAAAAATAAATACTCAATCTCCTTCTGAATTCATTGCAACAAAACCTGCACCCTTATTTATTTAATCCAAACAGGTACACATAAGCTAGACTCTCACTTGAAACACTTGACCTGAAGTCGTCCAGCTTTGCCGATGTACTCAGCACTCTGTCTTGGTCTGCTTTCAATCTGAAGTTGGGAAATAAAAATCCAAAATACTAATTCATAAACAGTACATAGAGGAAATAAACTAGGTTCCATTAGATGTATTAGATACCTGAATAACAACAAGTAACAACCAAGTTAATCTCGCATTTTCAAACTGCTAGTTTAAGTTTTAGTAAGAGTTTTACGGCACTTGCAACAAAATAAGGTCATATAAGTGCTGAAGATTAGAGGTGCTACAAGAGGGTAATTAAGTATAAAAAGGAAGGAGAGATCAGGATGATGGACGTTTGAAAAGAAAAAAAGAGCAAACCACACCAGAGCACCTGCCAACCACGCACTTCCAACTGCAGTTTCTCACTTTTCACGTGCAAGTAACATTGAACATGAGAAAAAGCATAGTAGTTCTATCTTCTGAGCAACTAATTACATGGTATACCCTCCCCAGAAACCAGATTGAGGTCCTTAAAAATGAAGAGTGTGTGTTATGTGAGGGGTACATATAGTTGGGTATATATATGTGTGTTTTATACATCTGTAATTCAAGTTAACAGATATAACGTAGCATAAGAGATATTGAAGAAAATTAAAGAAGTTAACTTTGATGGTATAAAGTCCAGAAATTAAAATCACTGCGGTCATGAAAAAATGATCTTTATTATTATTGTCATTATAAGAAATAAAAGTAAACAGATGAGAAAATCTTTAAACATACACTGTAGTCTATCTGTCATTCTCTACAACAAATCTTATTTTTCCATTTGTCTCACATTTTATTCTACTTTGACAGGTAAATATCTCTTCAAAATAAACTACAGTCCAACCTGCCATGACAGCCACCGGTACAAACGGTCACTTTCCATTTCCTCCCTGGCGATTCATCTATATAATTTCACTGTGTAAAACGGGCACCTGTCCAATGCGCTGCGGCCACCAAATTTTATCACACAAACCTTATCACACCAAAGAATAACAACTGTCTTAGACAGCCACCCCTCTCATCACCCGACGTTTTGTCATAAATTATGCATTGGCCGACGTTGTGGACAAGCTGCCATAAACTAATCCCCTGTCAATGTTGTTAGACAGTCCCTCCATCCGATCATGTTGCGTAGGCCCCTCCCATTGTTGACCAATAGGTAACCATAAATTTTCAGCAGCTGGTGCGTTAAGCATGTGATCCCTCATAACCCATAAGCTCAGCCCACAACTTCTACACAAACCGTAAGTGAGGTGACCGGTCACTGCTTACCCGTAGATAACCAAGTAACAATGGACGTCTACATAAATTTGGGACAGAAGCGTCACTCGTTCTTCAAGTGGTGGAGACCCATGTGTTTGTTTCAACATGGCAGTCGGTCTTCCTCATCTGACACATTTCGTTTTATTGTCACCCTTGCACAAAATGAGCAACAAAATTAAAAAGCTAACAAAAAACAAACCAACAAAAACAACAATAACAATGCGGCTACCTTCGGTTGGAATCTCAGAAGGGAATAGTTTGCTTTTTTCAGTTTGATCAATCCTGCCTAAGATGGACACCTGTTCAACACGGCTACTTTTCTCCTTGACAATGGGTGGCTGTCTTACACAGGTTCGACTGTATCTTTAAACATTGTTACCTCTAAAAAAGTAAAGCAGTGAGATAAGAAGGAGATGTACACATACCTCAGCAACATCAGCAGCTTTGGTGTACAAATGAATTGCTTTCTCAGGTTTTTCTAGTTCGACCATCCTGTGAAAAAAAAATGTTAAAAAAAAAAAAAATGACTTTGGGCCAACATCTACATCAAACTTTGCCCTGCAACCAATTACCTTACAATACAACAGAAGCATCCAAAAATAATTCGTAATTCATTCTTCCTGCATTAAGGATGGTAGAGTGAATAATTCTACCCTCAGTCATTGTATTCTAAAAAGACGCAAAAACAAGACAGGATATGACAGTTAACCTCTTATTTTTCAAAACAAGTAGCAACCTATAGAAATGTGACAAGTCATTATATTCTAAAAAAGACGCAAAAACAAGACAGGATATGACAGTTAACCTCTCATATTTCAAAACAAGTAGCAACCTATAGAAATGTGACAAGTCATTATATTCTAAAAAAGACGCAAAAACAAGACAGGATATGACAGTTAACCTCTCATATTTCAAAACAAGTAGCAACCTATAGAAATGTGACAAGTCGTTATATTCTAAAAAGACGCAAAAACAAGACAGGATATGACAGTTAACCTCTCATATTTCAAAACAAGTAGCAACCTATAGAAATGTGACAAGGCAATGACACTTATTTCTAAACTATACAAAAAAAGAGTTCCCATATGATGGAGTGGCTCATCATAGTGTCCCATTCTATATGGCTGGATCATCACTCACTTCGCAGCTTTGTCGAGGCAGAGGGCAGCTGTATCTGGTGTTCCATGCTCCTGAAACATCAAAGCTGCTAACTCCATCCAATGAACAGCTTCATCAAACTCTTTGTTCTCTTTACACAACAAGCCAGCCTGTTCAAAAGCTCTGTAAAAGAAAGTAAACATACAATATATTGGGCACAGCTTTGTTCAGTCATCTCAACTGCATTTCATGTTGAAATTGAAATCATACAAAAAAGATTGTCAGCATATTGCTAGTTACAGACTTTTGATTCTACTTTGAATTCTCAAGGAGAGTTCAAAGCCTAATACATTCAAACTGGGCTAAAAAAAAAAATCCCATGTATGAATTCTAGCAGTAATGGAACAATCAACACTGTAAAGTCGTAGAACTGACAAGCAGCACAAAACAATACAAAGGAAAAGAAATAACAAGGGAAACCACATCACAGCTGGCATACACCTCAAGTCATACTAGAGCAGGATGAGATGTTAAAAAAGAAAGATGAAGACAATAAAGGAGTAAAAAAAAACCCAATTACTAGTCCTGTCCCTCAATCAAAGACTGAATGCATATAGACTAGTGGACATTATCTGGGCTGTGTATATTCTCTACCAGTAAGTTACACGCGATTTAAAGGTGAAATACCTAAATGAAAAATTTGCAAGGGCCCTCTGATATATTTTTTACCGGAAATTTCTTCCTCAATACCCTGACATCATCTTACCTTGAGTGTACATGCATGGCTTTAGGTCATAAGGAAGTATAATTCCCAAATTGACAATAGTAAAATTAAATTTTGGTGGGTTAAAACTGCAAATACATTTAATATCATTTAAGGTAAAGATACTTACTTCGCAGCATGAAATGGTCTGTACACAGTTAAGGATCATATAGGTTTAGGTTTAGTAAGAGTTTTACGGCACTTGCAACTCAGGATCAGGAAGATAGATGTTTGGTAGGAAAACCAAGAAGGAGCAAACCACACCAGAGCATCCGCCAACCACCCACAAGAATCATATATACTCCAAATGTTTACATGAGAAGAACATGACATATTATATACGTAATACAGAAAACTGCACACAGAAAAATGAGAGGAACAAACAGGAACATTATCCCATTCCCAAGTATTGACATTTGAAATAAAGGGAAGGCGCTTTCATCGAATGATTAAACAACTGGGGATTCAGTTCTATAAATAAGCATGCTCTTCTCTTTTTGCATCCACATTTATCTAAGATAAGTCTGAACCAAATGTGAGAAATTCTCCACCGCGATTGAAAGGGAAGACTACTAACAAACAACAAACAAAAGCAAAAAAAAAAAAAAAAAAAAAAAAAAAAAAAAAAAAAAAAAAAGACAAATTCAACAGCTGTGAACCCCTTCAAAAAAACAAAACAAAAGGCAACAACCCCCCCCCCCCAGAAAAAAAAGAACAAAAAACCCAAACCCAAACAACAAATAATCAAACGAACTCTCCCCACCAAAAAAAATACAACAAACAAAACAAAAAGCATAAACAACAGCAACTTTAACAAGCAACAGAAGACACCACCACTGAGAAACTGGTACAAGCAGGGTGACTGCCAACCCGACTTCTCAGCTTTCCAGGGGGGGCGCATCCATTTTTCAGGGGCGTGTTACATAACAATGACAGCACGAGCTCCATAATTTATACACACACACGCATGTAGGTACATTATATCCTGTCAACAACATGTCGGTGTGGCACTGGGGTACTGTGTGACTCAGGTATTTCAGTCTGTTCTTACTTATTTTTATTTTCCCCTAATTATATTCACCTAGGCCTACATAAATATAAAAATGAATCTTGTTTTGAGCCTGAGAAAAGGCCTAGAACCAGAATATCGACTGTCAAGAACCAGTTTGGGTGTCAAGATAAAAATTATTGTTCAAACTCAAAAGTAGAGTAATAGCTTGAATGGCTCAAGTAGACCTCTTCAGTGTGAGAGTTGTAAGAAACATGGGAGGGCAAGAAGCAGTGACACTGAAAATCTGCGAATCTTGAACAGAAAGCTATAATATAAATATACACAATACATGTAATTTACTATCATCTATCCAATGAAACAGGAACCCTCTAGTTAAAAAACACGGCTTACAAGGTATGAGTATGATGGATCCCGATTCCATACTCAGGCCTGCACCATCATGCACTTTGCAGAGCTCAAGTAGTAACCAACATTCTTTATACCAAGTAGCTTCCAAGTTTTTGTCATCCGGTGTTGCCTTCAACACCATCTTCCCTCCCCCAAATGTATCTTTAAAAAAAAATCAATAGGCTGGAGTCCTATACTTCACAGTGCTAAGACTTTGAAAGAACTTTGGGGACCCCAACCATCACCGGTACTCACAATGTGCTGCGAATGCACAGGTTCACTGACCGGTCACGATGGCGAGCCCGACAAGACGCTTGTATAACTTTCTTTTCTTTCTTTCTTATTTTTTTCACAAGTGACGGCACAGGACAAATATTGATTTAATTTCTAGGCAACACAGCATTTGTAATGCAAAACCTGCAGGTTAAAAATGTTGTGTTATCAGACTACTACAGGCAAATTTCTGGGTGGTAATGAAAGCAGATCTTGATTTTCCCGATCGACCTTCGATATCACACACACTTCCGCTTGCTACCATCGCCACCTGTTCACGTGAAACGTGCTCTCAGACCGGGAGAAGTTGAACAAATATCACAATCGCGACCGGCAAAAATGAACCCAAGGACGTTATTGGATTTGGCTTTTAAATCTTCGAGAGCTTTTATGTATTTTTGCGGGGGAAATTTACAGATTTCCTCAAATTCACGGGGCATTCCTGAGACTCGCCGTTTTTTTTCAAAGTCCCAGGGGATTCCTGGGGCTTGGCAGTCACAAGAAAGAGGGCCTCCTTGGGATTGTTCTCTAAATCATTGACAGCTAAATTAATTGAGAAGACATTTTTTTATCAAACCATCATTTGGAAAGATTTTATTTACACAGTAACATGAGACAGGATGAACTTTTGTGAGGACGAGAGCATTATTAAATGAGAAGGACAAGTTACAAAAGCCAAGGGAATAAATGGAGAAAAAATGTACACAAATCAAATAAAGAAATAAAGGAGCAAACCAACTGAGAAACTGAATGTAATGAGAAAAGGATACGAGTTCATTGCTTTTTGGAGATCTGCAGCCTTGATGTAGGCTTCCTTGGCTTGATCTAATGCTTTGGCATTTCTGAAAGCTGTGGCTAGAAAATGGAAGATGGAAGAAGAAAAAAAGTTTGATTAACATGAAGTGAGGAGAATGAAAAGCGACAAAACAATGATATTCAAGAAAGCATCACAATTTGTTTACATATTGGTTACGTAAAATTGAATCTATCTGGTTACACAGTAATTCATAAAACACAAAATATAAATATTTATTTTTAGAGAAATATATTTTTTATTTCAAATTAAATCAATAGCAGAATTTGAGACATCTGCAGAATTTGTAAGACAAAAGTTTTCCAGCCCATTAAAATTTTATCACTCTCAGAACATAAAAATCCATTTATCCACCTTCTCAGATCATCCTCAATGAAAAATACAAGAAAAGCAACATTGGGGGACACCTAGAAACTTCTAGGTTCTATCACGTCTATGATCCATCACAGTAACTTTCTAGATGTTGTAAAAGTGAGTCACTAAATTGCTGTCCTCCATGACTCTAGCACACATGGCATGCAGGTTTTCCATTTGTGTGATTAGAAATCTCTCTCCCAAATGGTTTTATCCATACATCATTACACAGATCTTCCAAGGTCAACTTACCAGCTTTCACGTACTCTGCAGCAGCACCTTCTTGGTCGGCCTTCCATTTGAATAGTGAGGTTTTCATACTACATAGAAATAAATAAAAGTAAAGTAGTTAACAACTTGAAATCAATGAAAACATCATAATAATAATAATAATAATAATAATTGCATTTTCATATATAGAGCATCCAAGCTCTACAGCATGCTCTATGCGCTTTACAATCATTATTACACCAGCAGACCCAGGAACACTCAAAAATTTCTTGGCCTCTCAGGAAGTATACAGTCCAAGCTGCGGATTGCAAGTGCTCAAACTGACAAGATCTTTTGCTCTCTGTAGCCATTACCCTGTCCCTGCAGAATAATGCAAATTTTGATGACCATATTGTGCAAAACAAATACAAAATTATGCCAAAAATTATGCAAGTTACCATAACGCCATTCACAACATGTTTTGCACTTTCAGAAGAATTAAAAACAGAACATATCAGTATCAGTAATTTTTTGTGTATTTGGACAGAAAACAATACACATCAGTCAGAACCCCCCCCCCCTTCCCCCAAATATAATCTCTGTAACTTTCAGCTGTTCTCTTGCCTTCCACTGTCTCTCTACGTGGAATGTATATTATCATTAGTTAAATGTTAAAATCAGACAACATACATAATATGACATGATTGGATAGCAATGCCAATGAAAATTTAATTTTTCACTTTAGCCCTTTTTTATTTGGTACCTAAGAAAGAATTTTCAATTCTAAGAATTATGCTTCTTGAATTTTAAGAATCGGTTCATAAATAAAAAAAGTAATGGGGTTGTAAAGGTCGGCAAAATATGGATGACCCACATATAGGAAAATACTCCTAAAAAGTGGACCACGCAGTAGCAGATTCTGTAAGAAAATCGACGATATCTCGGGAACTAATCAGAGTGTTAGAGAGAAACTTGGCTACCCGATGTGTTTTGGGGTGTAGAAATCATTTATGCAGTGAGATTTACTACCCATTTCGTAGTTATTTTGTTATAATTAAAATTTTGGTGTATATATTACGATTTTGCAAAAAAGGGGTGTCGGGATGAGTCCATTTTGTCTATAGCATCATATATCACAACATGGGATCTTTAAGAATACATGTCGGCAGCGTGACTACATAATTGCAAAGCTTTTTATGATGACTTTAGACCATGCCAACCACAAAAGATGAGTTTTAATTCAATCAAGCATGCCATACAATTAAAAATTCTTTTTCCCGTTGAGACGCGAACATCCCGAGACGAGATAACCTCGTCTCGGAATACCCCCATTGCGATGTTACAGGGGAACAGAGAGAAAAACAACTGGAAGCGAGCACCCACCATTGCCTTATTTCAAGTGACCAATGAACAGGCCTGGAATAGTCATGTGGGGATTTGTAGGATACATTTGCCGTGAGAGTGAGGGGAAAATGGCCGGTCTCCGTGCGAAGTCGCTTTGGATAGGGGGGTAGTCGTGCATTTATCAACGGGTCTAAACAACTACTTGACACAGAACGTTCAAATTTGAGAACACCATAGAGGATAGATAGATCTATTACAATCTCGGCGTTGAAATTCAAACTCCTTAGTTTTCGGTGTACCCGATACAAAAGTGTTCCCGACACCAAAAGTATAGGTTAATTTATGTGTACGAACTTCAACGTCCACATATCATTAGTTTGCCCTATTTTCTGATTGGCTGTCGAGTTTCATTCGGATTGGTTCGGAAATAGAGCAGACCGAGGTTGACAAAGTTAGTCACCTACGCTTCGACCGGATCTGCAAAATCACCCGCAAACCGGGACCAAATTTTCGCCGCGCGGGAAAGCCCGATTGGCATTGCTAGATTGGAAAAATCCATATTTCAAACCGTGATACAAACCTGTGAGTGAGAGAGGCAAACATGATTAGTAATCCAAAAGCGTACCACTATGCCACTAGGCTGTTGACACAAAGGGGTTAAAAAAATTCTTAAGAACCTACTCGAGTTAAGTGGGAGCGTAGATCACCTTTAAAAAGTACCAAAACGCAATTAATATTTTATCTCAAAGGATTTTGCCGAGGTTTTGTCGCAAAATTACCACAGCTGATGCGATCTGCTTAAAAAAAATAATTAAACAAAAGTAAATTTCTGAGTCGAGTCTACCTTAATTGCATAAAAGGGAGGACCTTCGTTGTTCGAGTTGCCACTGTGGACAAATGTGGATTTCTCCGTACCGGCCTTCCTTTATTTCGTTTTTTCGTGCGCCCGTGTCGCGGAAGGGGATGAAGAGATAAATTATACAAATAACGATTTCATTTTGCACACGTTTTGAACGGAAGAAAAAAAAAGAACCTAAAAAACGAATACCGTGGCAACCAATCGCGACCCCAGTGCTTTCTTGTTCTATCTCCATTCTACTCCTGCCCCTACCCCTAATGAACCCTACCACTACTCCTACCCCTAATTAACCCTACCCCAACCCCTGCTCCTAACCATACCACTACCCCTAATTAACCCCACCCCTGCCCCTAATCAACCCTACCACTACCCCTACCCCTGCCCCTACCCCACCCCTGCCCCTACCCCTGCCCTTAACCCAATCCTAACCCTAACTCTTAAATCTCAATCCTACCCTGTTTCATAGTAATCGTTCGTTACTGCTATAATAATAATATGTTTTATCGGAGGACTTGTCTTGATGAGAATTTGATTAGAAACCAACGAAAACCTGGCAAACCAGCACTCCCAAACGGCGGAAGTAAATAAAGTCTGCAGGGTTAACAATGGCTGCGCCTAGGCCTAGACGAAAGTCTACTAATCCTCGACTCAGATCTTCAAAACATTGAAAAGTGCCTAAAAATGCGTAAACTGCCGTAATTTAGATCTAGTCATTTTAATGTCATGACCAGGTGGTATAACAAGTGGCTTTCGCCACTTTCGGTCTTCCATCAATGATTTTGATGGCCGTTGAGTAAAAATCTATATTTTATAGAGGTCGCTCGTTACGGAAGTCCTCCCAATGCATCACATTTTATGCACACTAATGCGAGAAGTATCATGTATTTTTCCCCACTTTTTGGCAATGACTCATTGAACTACTAATCAACTATTTTAACTGTGCTATAAACTCCTAAAATACCTCAGTCTCAGGAGGTTGAGACACACAGGCAAAAGCAGAGTCTAGTCCCAATCCTCTGGTCCGGTATTCTTCAATCTTACCCTTTCCCTGGACAAAGGAGTAAGAAAAACAGATCGAAGGAACTCAGTCTGAGAGTCAGAAACTAATAGAGAGACAGAGTGGAGGTAGGCGTGTGATGTACGTCAGACAGTACAGAATGTTCGATGCCGACACTACTTCACTAGACAAGAATCTAGGCTACACAAGGCAAAGCTACTGACAAGTGGCTTGGGAACCAGTAAAAACAAAGTCTTCAGTATTGACCAGGTATCAAACATTTGCTCAACTCTGTAAAGTCAGTCATTAAAGAGGGTAGCTAAAAACAAACCATTTATCGGCAAGACGAAGATGTTCCAAGCCTTCGGCGATTTTCCTATCGCTCAAACTCGCCATCTTGGCAAGAATTAGAGGTGTGCGAGTAACGAGTCCAGGCTCGAGTACTCGAGTAATACATGCGGCGAGTCCAGACTCGAGTCACAAGTAAATTACTCGAGTAAGGACTCGAGTAAGGACTCGAGTCCAGACTCGAGTCTGTAGGGGGGGAAAACAGAGAAAAGGAGAAAAATTTTGTTTTTAAAAAAGTTAAGAATTGATAAAAGAAAAATTCTGATAAGCAATTTTTTAAAACTGAAGGAAAAGGAAAAAACCCCACCAAAAATACCCCTTCCCCAAAGGAAAAAACCGACCCCCCCCCCCCAGAAAAAAGCAAAAAGGAAACCACTGTTAGAAACCCACGATGACCAATCAAACTTCTTTCTTTTATTAAGTGCATTGTCTGAGGTTTGTGTACATTTTATTCTTACTGTTGTAACAAAGAATTATTTTTAAAAAATAAAAAAATAAGATAAGATAAGATGAAGACTACCTCTATTCTAGCTCAGTTGTTATACAGTTGTAAGCTTCTCACTCACCCGGGGTGAGAGAGCGAGCCTTTTGGCAATTCTCTTCATGTGTGCGTTTACCGTGATGTGATACCCAGTGTAAACCACAGAATTCTAGATCTACACTTTTTAAAAATTGAATTCTGTAGTGTAAACAAACGTTCCAGTCCTCATGTGTTAAAAACATGCAATTTTATCTGCGGGCATTGAAAGAGAGAGAGAGAGAGAGAAAGAGAGAGAGAGAGAGAGAGAGGAGTAGCCTAGATATAGCGAGAACTTCTGGGCAAAACAAAATGCCGATTAGGGTAGTTCGGCTCTATTCTAAAAGTGAAACAGCCGTAGCATCATTGTAGACCACCAAATTAGTTTTACTTTTGTGTTATAATATCATTTTTTTAAAAAGGGGTTTGTCTATTTAATCATCCTCACCGATAGGAAGTATTCAGAAATTAGGAACACCCGGTTTTGTTTCACAGCGGGTGAGAATAGCCAACACTGGCTAGTCTCACCCGGGGTGAGAGGTCGATCACATTTTTATTCTCACCTGGGGTGAGAATAGCCACTTCCTAAGATAAAATAAAATAAATACGGTATAAACAGCATATGTCTAGAATTGCCATAAGCCAACTCAAGCTCCCTCCTAGGAAGGCACTCTATTTTCTGTCCGATATTCAACAAAACCTTTTTTGAAACCCACTAAAATTCCCTTTCGGGATACTATTACTCGAGTAATAACTCGAGTCTTAAGAGCCGTGGGACTCGAGTAATTACTCGAGTAATTACTCGAGTCCAGAGCAGATACTCGAGTCTGGACTCGAATCTTAATATGCTGGACTCGCACACCTCTAGCAAGAATCTATTTCCGTTAATTTGTAAACACGCATTTCACCGAAGACAACCTCAGACGTCCTTCACCTGTCATTTTCCCCTTTTATTCGGCGCTTGGCTAGTTTCGATTTCCCTGCAAATCAACCGGTGTTGGGCGTTGGGTGTATTTTGCCTCGGTGTTACTCGAGGGGGCCTCATTTTTTTTCCAGCGAATCTATGGTGGTTCCTAAAGGTGCAGACATAGCTGTTCATATAAATAATAACGTATTGTCTCTATCATGATTTCTGCTTTTAGATCTAAAATCTGAGATTAGGAAGTAAACTATTACTAGATCTAGATCTAGATCTAGATTCTAGTTCTATTATACTGTGGTTGAGGATTTACGGGACAACTAAAAGTCAACTTTGTGTTTAAAATTACTTCTTTCCCTGCCCACTGTGGAAATCCTGATCAAATGTTACATCCAAATTGTCTATGTTTGTTTGTTTTTTCGTAAGAGTTTTTCGACATTTGCAACGCAATAAGGTCATATAAGTGCCCCCCCCCCAACGCAATAAGGTCATATAAGTAGTGTCAATTGCCACCGAGTGACGCGGTGGCAATTGACAAAAATTGACTTTTTGTCAATTGCCACCGAGTAAATTGGAGCTCTTTTGCGTTTGTGGGTAGATCTAGATCTAGCTTATTGACTTCTTATTGTGCTCGAGTGCTCGGTGTTGTGCGTTCGCCTCTCTCTCTCTCTGTGTGTTTGAGTGTGTGTGTGTGTGTGTTTTCCTGACCCCTGTCCCCCGATTTATGTTCCCCGATATAATGTGAATTTCTGCTTGAGTTTGTGTGCGTTTGTGACCTTCTAGGCCTACTTCTAGAATTGCCTGTGTTGGTTCTACACCAAAGTGTAGGCATAGCCTTGATCTAGATACGTCTCATTTAAAAACACGCCAAGTTGGTACCGTAGCTATAGACTAGATGCTCGTCCAATGAAATTAATTGAGAACAAATTGACCCATGGGACACACATTATGTATAATGCTAAAGATAGTGTTGTTTTCAGACTTGACACCGCTTCACTCGGTGGCAATTGACAAAAAGTCATTTTTTGTCAAATGTCAGCGCTTCACTCGGTGGCAATTGACACTACCAAAAAAATATTAGTGCTTTACACAACACAAATCGGTAAATATATACTTCAGTCCCCTATCCTATGTGTATAGTAGTATAGTATAAAAAAATAGGCAGAAAGCTTAACTTGAAATTGATTGCTATTGTCGCTTGATGTATTCTGATGTCTTTTGTTCTTGTTTTCAGGTTCTAGACACTTTTTACACACATTTTGCTGTTTGAGTGTGGAAGATAACAATGAAGCATCTGCTGAAATTGAAACCTTCAACTTCATGGTGCATGCTCAATCACCAGAGATTGTTGGGAAATGCGAGAACAATCTTCAGCAAAACTGGAATATGGGTACACTGTTTTTTCTACTGTTTTACAATTACAACAGTATGATATATCTTGTGTGGACATTTAATGTCAGAATTTCTTCACAGAGGTGTACATTTATATATTACAGGTGTTGACAGTCTCGGGTAACTGCACCTGTTACAAATTTAAATTTAAATTTTCAATCACTCTTTTATTGTTGTTATCAATGTAGCATTATAATGTGTTATCGATTTAAGTTTGTCATTATATTCTTACGTTTTTCCTGAGGAGGTATACTGTTTGGTAGAGAATGTCCGCTTGCAGAGAGTCAGTCGTGGAATTAGAAATATCTGGGTTTATCAAACCTTGTGATATCAGCTTGCTCTATCATGCTGTTATTAGTTTGATAAGAAATATTGTACACAGAGATAACATTTCATTTTTCATATATATGTATGAAATATGTGTCCTTTGTACACTCATAGAACTGAAAGGCTCAGTGCTGTTAACACTATTTTCACTTTTTTATGAGGAGACTCCTTGCTTTGAAATCTCTCCTGAAAATTGACTTGATTCAAGTAAGGAGTATGTAAGCATATATATTAAAAGGGATGTTCTTAGCGTTTCAATGCTCAAAGGTACAGTCAAAATTGTCTAAAGCGACTACCCTCTGTCTGGGAGAAATGTGGCCATCTGAGACAGGCGGCAATCTTTTGCTCAAAGAGGATCCAGGTTTTCTTGAACAAGTGTCGAAGAAAGTCAGGGTCACCGACGAGGAAGTGTTAAGGAAAACAAGACAGATCCCAGTCAGAGATGAGGTAGGAAGAAGGCGGTGGCGATGAATTGGACATGCTCTCAGGAAATCAGGCAGCTGCATAACAAAGAAAATGTTGGATTGGAATCCACAGGGTAAAAGTTCAAGGGGAAGACCAAGTGGAACCTGGAGAAGAAATACAGAAATTGATGTACAGAAAAGTGGGAAGACATGAAATAACATCAAGAGGCTAGCCCAGGATAGAGGAAAGCTAGCAGTACCAGTAGAGAGAAACATGAAGTGAAGGAAAGGGAAGCCTAGAGAAGGCCAGGGGTGGAGAAGAAAATGGAGATGAAAGCAGTTAACAGAACAGGATCTGCAGACCAGGAAAGTAGGTGAAAGGGGAAATTTCTGGAGAAGAACATTTTTTACCCGTCTCCGTCAGGTTTTGAACCAGGGACCTTTTGAATGAGAGGCGAACACTGTACTTCTAGACCACGAGAGCCCCTAGCGATTGGTTTATTCAAAGGACAACAATAACGACAAATGAATGGATTATGATGGCTCATCCACAGGGGTTGATAAATAATTTATGGCAACACATGGGGCAATGACGTATTTGTGTTGCCATCTTAGACAGGTTTTTGGGGCTGATGGTTGATAGAATATCGTGGCTGCAGCGGACAGGATATTATTTTAGACAGTGCCATTATATAGAAAAAAATGCGCAGGGGAAAATGGAAAACAGCAGTTTGTACAGGTGGTTATCTTATACAGGTGGCCATATGGGCAGGTTCAACTGTGCATGGGTATGGTGTTGGGTAACTTGCCGCTCCTTCTGGGATATAATATATGTATATTTTTGTAGATTTTAAAATTTTTTTTTTTGGACCTTTTGCCTTTAAACTGACAATTTTGTAGTTGATTGTCCTGGGTTCAGTGAATTTTACCAGTTTCCTACTGTGATTTTTATATAACTGTAAAGTGGAATTCTTCAAGACACCAAATTTGCTACCTTTTATGTTTCAGAATCCTCAATTGTCAGTGGACACCAGGCTTGAAATAGAGAAATACTGGCAACCATTGATTCGGGAACATGACAGACAGCAGGCAGAACTTGTTCAGTCTACACAGAATGTACGTTTTTCTGTTACAGAATCATGTATCAGTTCTTTCTTTTTTTCAGTTATCTACTTTTTAAAATCTATTTAAAAGCTTTTGGGTTTAAAGAATTTTTTCTGAAAAGGCTATTATAAAGTGAAGGCAAATGAATGGAAATCGTTTTTTTAGCATTAGAGATTACTCAGAATATAGAAAGTGACTGGTTTTATTTTAATAAGCATATTATATTACAAAATTTTGGGCTCACATTTTTTGTCTTTTAGTAACTTTCTTATTTGATACATTTCATCAGGAAGACAAAGAGACATTTTATGCCTTATCCATGTTCCCATACCCAAGTGGGAATCTTCATCTTGGTCATGTGCGGGTTTACACCATAAGTGATGTCATGGCTCGTTATCAGAGAGCTAAAGGAAAACAGGTATGTTTTTGTGGTTTTTATATATATATTTATCTGCTTGTAGAAATATTGATTAGAATCTGCTTTCGAGGTATTCAGCTGTTTTAAGAATTTTATTAGAAGAGTAAAGATAATTGTAATACTTTTCATTGTCCTTTTCAAACATAGATCTATATTATCTTATCTAGTTATGTCAGAGATGATACTTTTAAATCAGCAAATTTAGTGACATAAAGTTTAAAGAAA